GTAAACCTTTAGTATATTTAATCTGTTCACGCTATAAATATATTTCATCACTACCACGCCTCCTATATCTTATTTTTATATTTCACTCTTTTTTTTAATAATTAGTATATAACTAATCTGTTTCACATCTACTTATTTTGCCAAAGTGGTATGGATTGTAGATTGCATTTAAAAATTAAAAAAAATTAAATTTCATTCTGCCATAAGTAGCTATTAACAATATTCCTTAAAAACAATTATAAATACTCCAGCTTTCAGCAACTGATTAATCTTTCTATAGCAAAATGTAAATATTTTTATTTTCAATCTAATATACAAGCAGTTTTTTGAAATTTACTTGATTATTAGTACCTACCTAACTCATTTAAGTTTGGCTTGTATTGCTGTTTTACAATAAGGTACATTGAAGATAATCAATTCTAAGTAATACCCTACGCTTTGACATTTTTAATATTTGTGGTCTATTGACTATTACGCTACTAATAAATAAATTTGGTTGGTAATAAAAGTCTTATCAGTCTCATTTACATCTAAATTAGTACCATTAGTAAATTTGTCAACTAAACGTAAGAAATTTAAACTCTAAAATGATAAAGGTGTATTAGTCTGAGATATTTCATGTTAATTGTTAGTAAATATTTTTACCTTGAAGTCCAGGTACATTTTCTTATGATTGAATACTTCAAATTTGACTAGGTTTCCACTTAGAAGCAATACATTATTATGTTCAAAAATAATGCAGCCTTCAAATATCGTGATTTTAATTTAATGTAATAATTTAACTAAAAAGCTAAATTCCAAATAGTAATATTTTGCTCGTGTAATTACATTTATTATAGTTATATTACAACCATAGACGTAATGAAAGAAATCTTTTACTTTTTGATAAAAAAATAAAAAATAGATAAAATTGGTTTATGTATTATAACTTAATAATATGAATATAATATGAATATACATGTACAATATATGTTTACATTTTAACCATAGACAAATCATCGCATTACAAACTTTAAAGATAGAAAAATAATAAGATTATTATTTTGATGATTTGCAAATAGTTTTTTTTTTAAATTGATAGTTAATATTTTAACAATTTAAATATTACTAGATATTATTATAATTATATGTAAAATTAATATTTTATCTTTGGTAGATAAGTATTACCTAATAGTTAATACGGTTCAGGTACCATAGCTAATTTATTACAACATGGTTTATTATACGCTACATATGTGAACATGAGTATAATTCCTATTAAAATCCTTCACGATAAAATGTCTAATAAAAGAAAATCATTCCTTTTAAATTTATAAAAAAAATTGTGATTACCATGGTAATATTTTTCTATGATTAATAATTTTTAAATAAATATTTTGCATTTGCTGCATCTTATATAATAAAACATTTGTAGTTTGGAAAGCCACTCCTATCTTAAAAGTCGTTTCATTAGGAATGCAGAATTTAATCTCGTTATTGCTTTATTATGAACAATTGAAAACGATATGAATGTATAGGTTCAATCTTCAGTTCTGGTAATTGCTTATCACTCACTGACACATCTCCTAGTTCACCAATGATGTAACAAACGTCTTATTCTTGAATGGTTTGTAGTTTGTTTTCATAGACATGAACTTTGAGGTTACTCCAAAAAAAGAAATAAAGTAATAGCTAGATCAAATCCTTTGTTCTTAATATATTATGTTCATCAGACAAATGTCTATAATAATCAGTAAAATTTTCATTGGAAGGTATAATTCTTAGACCAAGGATGGCATGCAAAAAACTGTCGAGGGCACAGAAAAATTAAAATGCTTTTTTTATAATATTTAATTTTTCAATAAAAAATAATGTCCATCATGTTTTGTATAATATATATATTTAATGCACACAGTAATGTCCATACTAGGATAATAAATCTATTATAATTTATAGTAAGCATATAGCAGTTAGCAATCTAGTTTATTATCTATATATCTGACAGACTACAACTTAGCTACCCAGTCACGGAAAAAAACAAAAAAATAGTTGATTTCTCAGTACTTACTTTATAGCGACATAATGTGTAAAATAAAGGTGTGCTTTTCTTAAATTAAAATTAAAAATTAAAATGTTGTGTTATTTGTAGTTATAATTATTTTATTGTGTCTATGTCTATTATAATGTATTAATATGTACTATATTATATTTTATTACAGTTATAACTATCTTTATGAATTTATGTCTATGATTTTAATTAATACATTTTAAGGCCATGAGTACCTACTGGTGATCTAAATTATCTATCTTGGTCCGTACCTATGTGGACTGTGGCCAATAACCATGAGCTAATGAGTCATAACTGTACATTTATTTTGGTACTTCCGCTATCAATTATTTTATTGTTTTTTTTTTTAGTATCTAATGTTCATCTATATAATGAGAGCAGGAAAAAGTCTCTGGTAAAAAGGCACTGTGAATAATCATATCTTTGTATTTTTAATATTTTAAATGGTTATAGCAACAATTTATGAGTTATGAAGAACTTTGCACTAAATTTTCAAACTGTTTTACCAAGCTAAATTTTTTTATCAATAATTATATGAAAATAATGTCAAATGTCAAAATCATTAGAAATTGCAAATATTCCAAATAAACATTGCAAGGTGTAATTTGTTGTTTTTTGTTTTTGATGTAAACTAAACAAACAATATCAATTTTTTTCTAAAACTAGTTTTGCGTAAAAATGCCAGGTTTTCTTTATTTTTCTCGATTATTTTGAATAGAATAAGACATTTTTTACTTTTAACCATCCTAAGTACCAACTAGATCCATTTTGCTACCAGAAACCATCCTCAAAGTTAATAATCCAAACAATTTGTTTCCTTAAAAGATTTTTAGGCACAAAAATACACATCATTGTCATCATTGTCAAATCAATTAATTCTTCAATCCACACTAGTCCACTCTGTAATGTATGATAATCATAGACCTCATACTCAGTTGTACTTAAAAGGTCTATGATGATAATTGATAATATTAATATATCATTATCCATGACTAAAAAAAATGTATTTAGTCATGATATTAAAGTAAGGGTTTGTTATGATTTATGAATATCACTCATGACTCACCAGCCTGTGTAGTGTGTATTGATTATTGAATTGTGAATTTGTGCACCAACGTGGTGACAACTGTCATATAATAAAAAAAATATAATATACTACAATACTATATACTATAAACTATATACTTACAATATTATAATGTAACATTCAAAGGAGGCTACCATATGTAATTCTGTATAACACATTTGCACATATAATATTTGGTAGGTGGATAGGTAATAAGTCATTGTAAAAAAAAATGATTTATCACCCAAAATAACTTTAAAAAAGTAGAAAATTTAAAATTACCTATAAAAATGTATAGTATATTATCATATACCCATTCAAATTTCAATTAACTATTATTGAATAACAGAAATTAAGCATATGCATGAACTATTTTTGATTTAAGGTGGTATGAACATGTCTGTGATGGATGGGTGCTTGGTTGCTGAAGAACTGGGTTATGGATGCACTGGAATTAAAACTGCTCTAGAAGCGAGTGGTTTGGGCGTAAGAAAAAAAGATTATTTGTAAAAACTGAAAATATAATTTCTTTTGTATTTATTAACGTCCTGTGTAATTTAGCAAATGCCAGTTATAATCGGTGGAAATAAAGAACAACAAAAAAAATACCTTGGAAGATTAATAGAAGAGCCTTTGGTAGCTGTATGTATACTTTTTGTCACTGTAATTAATGTTAAGTGTTATATTCATTACATTAATTTGAACTATGTACAGGCTTATGGTGTAACAGAACCTGGTGCTGGTTCAGACGTCAATGCTTTAAAAACAAAAGCCGTTAAAAAGGGCGACGAATATATCATTAATGGACAAAAAATGTGGATAACCAATGGTGGTGTGGCTAACTGGTATTTCGTGTTAGCTCGTACTGATCTGGACCCTAAGGCACCAGCAAGTAAAGCATTCACTGGTTTTATTGTTGACGCTGATACACCTGGACTTACACCTGGCCGAAAAGTAAAGTAAAAGTTTTTTTTTTCTTGAACACAATTATATCTTTTCGTGTATTTAAGGAATTAAATATGGGGCAAAAAGCTTCAGATACTAGAGGGATCACTTTTGAAGATGTACGAGTGCCTAAAGAAAACGTGTTAACTGCTGAAGGCCAAGGCTTTAAAATTGCGATGTCGACATTTGATAAAACCAGACCTCCAGTAGCTGCTGGAGCTGTTGGCTTAGCTCAAAGAGCATTGGACGAAGCTGCCAAGTACTCACTTGAAAGAAAAGCATTTGGAGTACCAATCGCTAAGCATCAAGTAAATAATCCAACTATATTTACAACTAAACAGAATGGTTCAATTTCACTCAACATACTAAAATCAGCGTCTTATTATTCAATTATAAGCTATAATAGGGGGAAAAAAATATAAATTTATGTCCAAAGTGTAATTCATATTCGTTGTGTTATGTCTAGGCTGTTGCTTTTATGTTAGCTGACATGGCTATTGGTATTGAGGGGGCTCGACTTACATACATGAAAGCCGCGTATGAAGTTGATCAAGGCCGACGCAATTCTTATTATGCATCGATTTCAAAAGCCTATGCTGCAGATGTGGCAAATAAATGTGCTACTGATGCTGTACAGGTATGTATTGTACAATAGTTTGTGTAATATTATTTTATGTAACTATTGTGTCATTAATTAATGATCTTAGATATTTGGTGGAAATGGTTTCAACACAGAATACCCTGTAGAAAAATTAATGAGAGACGCTAAAATTTATCAAATTTATGAAGGTACTGCTCAAATCCAACGGTTGATTATTTCAAGAGACATCATTGAAAAAGCCAAACAAAATATGTAAAAAAAAAGATTTTAAAACACAAATAAAATAGGTGCTTTGTCAAAATATAAAATTAAATATTTATTTTTATATTGTAACATTGTAATGGATTGGTAAAATGTATTTAAGAAATATCGTTATATAAACAACAAATATATTTATTATTTTTTAATATTTAAGCAGTCTTATATTTACCCCGTTCATATGCTATCGCTTATACACATAAGAGTAAGTCAATTTGGTAGTTAGGTGCATATAAACAATTGTTTAACTTTCATTAAGCTAACACGTATTATTTTTTATTACAACTTATGAAATAGAATTCTCTAATGTGCATCAACGATTGCATACAAACATTGTACTGGTGATAATATACCTTGATGGCTACATTATTTATATATCATATAATTATCATAATAAATAAAAAATATTGATTTTTATATTTATTAACATGCTGATGATATTTTAGTTTTCACTAGATATGTAAAAAACAGTTATTGTGTAAACTTATAAATATTTTTATAACTATCAATATTAGGTAAATACATAAATGCATTTCTTTAAGAATAAAATAAAAAAAAGCAGTTGGAAGAAAGTAACTGATCAAAATAATATGCTAATTTGTTAGTTTTACACAATATATAATATAAAAACAACTTTAACAAAATAATCTTTGCAAACAGTGGCGCAAATTCAATGGAAACCAGGAGGCTAATCACACCCCCTCCCCCAGCTCCCTCCAAATTGTGCCCTTGATGATCTTATACTACATTAAGTAAATGTATTAGTATGTACATACTGTTTGGTTTGGAAAAATTGAACTTAAGACTAAAAACTAAATGTATATTATACAAAATAATATAATATAATCTATTTTACCCTGGTTCAAAGGATTTTAATATTTTCACTATTTTCTTTTTGATCTTAAATTTAATAGTGTTGTTATCTGAATGTCAAACATTTCTTGTGCCATATTGTGTATTATTTTTAATAAGGGCAGAAGTTTGAGCATTTTCTTCAACTGTAGATTTCCTTGTAATTGGTTGACGAGTCCTCCATGCAAAATGACTGCGTGACATGTCCACATCTCGGAATGTATTCAACATAAATATTGCGGTCACAGTTATAAGGAATCCACAAATGATACCAATAATATCCTAAAATGCATATAAAATAGGAAAATGAAAAACAATTTAATTTACTGCTTATATTGACAAAACCAAGTACATTTAACTGCAGATGTTCCCATTCCTTGAATAATATTGCTGACGCAGTTATTACAAGAGTTGTAAACATGACATAATAAACTGGTGTAACTACACTGGTGTTGAAAGTGTCTAAAGCTTTGTTCAAATAGTTCATTTGTATACACACAAATGTAATCAACAAGACAATAAACATATAGGTTAACCAATTTGTGAATTCACTTTGACCTAATATTACAAATATTGTTTAATAAGATATAAATATTTAATTACAAAACACAAAATGCATTTTTTTTAATCTATAAGTTGATACATACCTGATATTGTTTCTCTTATAGCAAGTCCAAGTCCTTTACACCACATAACAGTTAATGAACCACTAGTTGAACACATTATAACATATACAATAACATTTGACGAACCATACCGTGGACCAAAGTAGAAGAATATTGAGAAAATTATGATTAACATTATGCTAGTGTATATGATGAAACCTAGAAATCAAGAAAGACATAATCAGTTAATAATACAAATCTCAATGCATTAAATAAATATTAGAAAACCTACCAGGTTCTGTAAGTTTCTGTAATAAATCTTCAAGGGAGTCAACTTCTTCTTCTTTTGGAGAATGAATTACCATCACCGTTGAACCAATTATACACATAAAACAACCAATCTAAAACAATGACAATGTTATTATAACTCAATACATAAAAATTCATCAGTTATCATTTATAAATCATTAAGTATAAAATGTTTACATGACAAATTCACTTAACAACAAACTATCCACACCAGAAACAAAATTATTTATACAATGAAACATAAGTTAACTATTTTAAAGTAAAGTTTTTAAGTCAACCCACTTTCATTATATTACTTAATAGTAAAGACGAAGCCTAAGAAATGTTATTATACAATTGAATGTATAAATTATACTTTGAAACCTAATCTGTGTATATATATAGAAACATAAAAAAGGTCTAAAACTGTATTATTCTGTACCCACATTAGTTGGAAGTCGTATCTGAAAATATAATTGTTTGACTTCCTCGGTAATCTAACCTAACCAACCTAACAAGAAAAATAAATATCTACTATTGATTACTTCAAATTTATATTAAGTTATGAGCTAAAAATATTACAATATATTATGTAATAAATTACATAATTGTCTAACCAGTAACCATAGTTGTTTTTATTTTTTGTTCCATTAAAAAAAAAATATTTAGTTGATGGGAATCATGAGCAACATTATTGTTTCATGGGTAGCAAAACTTAATAAATATGACCTTATAAATATATTAATAAATATTATTGTAGGACTTAAGATAGTTGGCAATTATGTTATGCATTCCATCTTATGATATATAATATGCACATTAATATATTCTTTAGACACTAATTTTTGGAATCTCAGAGAAATCAGATGATTATAACATTTTTTTTTCTATTTATATAGATTTCAGTGTTAAATTATTACAGCTCAACAATAAAATAAAAGAGCTAAACTATTTTAATTTCTAGAATGTATTGTTTGATTTCAAAAAAAATCATAAAATATGTAGGAATGAAAGGACATGTTTTTTATATGACGGCAATATATTATACAATAAATATTTATCACTAATAAACTATATGACTGCATACTATGTATACATGGGTGTGTTTGATTCCAATTTTATCTTACTGTTTTTATGACATTTGTTAGTTACTTATCTTTATACTTATTATTTTTAATAAGTAATCATCAATACGTTTATTTTTTTTAAACTTAACATATTTAATTTACAATAGCTTATAACATGAATAAAAAAAAAATTAAAATACAGGAGAAACTCTAGACAATAGTCTAAATATAAAATTAATAAAATTTCAATAATTTAATTTAAATTAAAATGTTTCATAAAAATTTTAAAAGGAAAATAAGTTTTTTTTCAATAGGCAAAACAGAAACTAAAATAATTTAACATTCATTTAAAAATAAAATTTTAACTGTTTTCTCGACTTTTAAAAAATAATAGAACACAAAAATGAAATGATTATTTCTGACTTAAAAATTTATAATAAGCTTTATATACTAGTCCAAGAACAGCTAACAAAATGACAAAAATATCATTGCACAAAAATTAATACTCATATTTAATTCAATAATAAAGTTAACCATATATTTGACTTTATTTATATTCACCTTCGCTAATAAATTAAGCTGTTCATTTAAATACTTTGAAGATAATATTGCTGCAACAATGACACTTAGTGCACCTAGTGGTGTGACCACAGAAGCTGGAGCAAAAGCATAAGCAGCAAAGTTAAATACTTCTCCAAAAGCCACTAATAAATAAAAAAATTCATCAATAATGTAAAACTTTGGTATCATGAAAAAAAATATGCCTTACTCATAGATAATCCAAACCACCATAACCAATTACTTAAGTATCCATATCCACCATTAGCTGCTCTACGCCCACTTCCTAATGATATTTGAACAAGAGCTTTTTTCTTTATAATAAAACTTGCTCCTAAACAAATAAAACAATTTATTAGGTACATAAGTTTGATGTAATTTAAAATATTATTATAGGTACAGTTCTGAAATGTTAAAGAAATTAGTTAAAAATAATACATAGTTATTAAGTAACAACTTTCTATTATTTATTTCTTCTACGCCTATCTCTGTTGAAATTTGTGTCACTAACTGAAAATGTAATAAATCTACACTATGTCAAATATATATTTTTATTCATGCAAGCCTAAACATACTCAATTTTATAATGGTTAATATATAATAGATTCTAATATTATTATTTTTTTTTATTAGGGGAACTCCCGGCAACATATACCACTGGGTGTGAGGTGTTAAGGTAGGATTTTAACACATGTTTGTGTATGGCTGGCAAGAATGTGTTGCTAAAAATCTAGGTGGTCACCCATCCAAGAACTAGCAATGTCCACCAGTGCACTCAAAGCGTTTCCGCAGATTGAGCTTACGACTGTGTATCACCAAGCCATTGTAATATTATTAATTGTTAAATTGCTGTTGAAATATGTTTGATACTTTTCAACAAGCCTAATAATCACTAATACAATGAATAATAAAGCCATATTTTTAATAGTAAAAGTAAAATTTAATTGAAGCTTCTTTATTTTAAATAGGTAGCATACTACATTAGAAACAAAAAATATAAAATAATTAATTATTATAGGTAACAATAGAATATAGATATTGGTAAATGAGAACTAGTCTTTTTAGTTAAATAATATTATTTAATAATTAAAGCCAAATTTCTATAAGCTTTTATTATCATTATTTTATGAAAAATAAATGTTGTGTATGAAAAAAGTTACACATTTTAATACCACGATACTATTGGTAGGTAGTTATTCATTTTTTTTATATTTTTATAATTATTGTACATAAAATGTATATATGTATACATATACAATATAAAGGTTATCTTAAATGATAATAAATGGAATGTGGCGGACTAAATTAAATAATAGAGGGAGATATAAAGTATTAATTACAAACATTGTTAACCTTTGAAACTTATCTGATAGGAAGTAAAAATGAACCAGATCGTTTAATTTTAATATCAAATAGATTTACATACACACAAATACATATTGATTCAAGTTGGATATAGTCAAAAATATTTATTGTTGTAAATTTTCATTTTTAAGACATAATATAATATATTAGTTTGAAGAGTCAAACAAACACTAGCACAAGATTAATAACACAAAAAAATGTTAAATTTAACAGGGTGCTATAACAAATTCCTAACAACTACCTAACTCTTTTAAAATAATTTTGGTAATACTAAATAATTTTGATGATTTACATCTTATAAATAACAATTAAACTTTAAAATGTATCAAAAAAATAGTAAATAGTATAAAATACAAACCAATAAAACCACTCGAAGACAGGGCAAGTCCAAGACCAATATAATAATCGGTCATATCATACAATCGAATTGATTCATCCTTGTCCATGATAAGTAAAATTAAGTTACTTGCTATTGAGTAAACAATAAAATGTTTTAATTTACAATGAATAAAATATCAACACTGATCAGAGCTGAGGCGCCATATCATTGTAATGTGATCGAGATATTGTTAAGTTCAATAATCGAAGAAAAAATAACGATTAATACATTGAAATTGTAAGGTTTCACCATGATATAATAATTCACATAACACGAGAACTGAGGCGGTACGAGAAGGCAAAACAAATAACGATTAATAAAAATATAAAACTGTTACAAATTACTATCTAATATCTTTAATAAATAATAAATTAATAACAGACAATAATTAGATTGTAAACTTTAAGTGAGAAATATAAATTTTAACAGTACATAGTAGTCGTATTGTAGATAGCCCATAAGCAAAAACACATTGAACAATTTATAAGACTTGTGGAAGTGGTAATCACTTATCACGGACTAAGATATTATTTCATAATACTATTTCATTGTACTATATATACATAAATATTGTGGTGGTGGTACCACAGACTTATTATTACTTCTTATAGTTATTGCTTATTAATTTATTACGAATACATGAAATATAGTGCAATGCCGCGATCAGTAAACTGTTAACACTTAACAGGATGACCAATTAATATTCATAGATATCACTGTCATTCGAGTATACAAAACTGTACATGGAATAAAAGATTAAGATTTCATGGATTCTTTAAAATCTATTATTAGCATAAACCTTATACAGAACATAGTATATTAAGTATAATACTTAAACATTATAGTAAATAATAAATATTTCTATTGTCTAATAGATATTTACTATTTAGGTCCGTGAATGGACTATGGACTATGATGACATTGATATTAAACTTAAATGTTCAATGTTTGTTTAATATTTATGTATGGTACAGACGTACAGTCAAATATTGATTGTGACAGGGCCCAAGGATTCTTATTTCTATGGTCCAAGGCGGATCTACATTCTACCTATCGACCATGATACACCTAAATAGATATCATTTTAGTAGTCTATGGAATACTCATGAACCACAGCACTGCAAACATTCTTTACAGTTCAGTAAAAGTTAGGTAACAAATAGATAATAAATATAAACTTTGACAAAAATCGAGTTGGTTTAAAAGACGAATTTATCAGCATGGCTAGTATAGCTAATAGGTATATTATGTCTATTATGGTATAGCCGTATAGGCCATGTCCATGCTCAAAAAATCATAAAATAGTTTAATTTATGACGTAACCTTCGTGACCTACAGCAGCAGCAGCTGTTCGTGTAAATTACTATCAACTATCAACATTAAAGTGATAAAAGAAAATAAAGTCCAATCGGCTTCCGGCGCTTTGACAATCACTCCATAATCCAAATTATTCTAATAGGTATTCAACAATGACATAAGAATATCGGATTAACGAATAGCAAACCGTCGAATCGTTAGCAGAATGTTAAAACTATCATGTAGAATTCTGCAAGTTCTGTGCCGTCGTCACAATTAATACAATATGATTAACAATTAAACTTGTAGCTTTTCAATACAACGATTGAATGAAAAACGGTCCTAGTCAAATATGAATCTTACAAATAGACTGATTTGGTTCCTACAGGTAACGATAACAGTAACAGTTATTTGATTTAGTAAATACCTATTGTCTGTTTGTTATTTTGATTTTTTGTGACTAAACCACACAGATAATTGATTTTAAATTAAGGAAAGTTATAGATTTGTTTCATCTAACTTATCAATATGGATGACAAATTCAGTTATCGTAAGACCAACAATTGTTTCTTGATTAACATTAGAGTTGCTTATAACTTACAATATTCTGATCAAGATTTTTTCTGGAATTTTAGTTTTATGGTGAATGAAATATGATTGGTATAGGTAAATATTTTCAATTAAAAAAATTTTAAAATTTTAAAATCATTATATAAACATCTAAAACTATACTAAGTAATATCATAACAGTTGATTTTCTCATATTAAGTTTAAACAGTGATCAATTGAAAAATAAATTTAAATTTAATTCCTACATTATCAATGTTAGTTGTAAAGAATTTTAATGTTAACTATTTGGCAGAATGCACTAAACTAAAGTATGGTCTCATAATAGCAATCTATTGACATTTATTATTATAGATTTCAGATTTACATCTTAGCGTTTTCCACGATTGGGAGCGAGTGACTGAGCTCAAAGAATTTTGTGAATTAACTTTGGATACAATTAAGCCTTCAGCTGTTTTAGCAAGTGGTATGTTTTTTTGCTAATTTATAAATCATAATGGTTCAAATTAAAATTGAGTAGGTCCTATGTTTAATATATAATATGGTGTTTACCTACGTAAATAATAATTGTAAATTCTAATCTTAAATGTGTTTATGTAAACAGAATGTATTATTTGATTTAATAATAGTAATAATGCAGTGAAACTTACATTCAGTGGTGTGGCTAAAGGGCCAATAGGGCCATGCTGAGGTGTTTCAGAGTTCAAAAAGCTCAAGAACCTATCATCTATTCTAAGTATAAAATGAAACGAAATTGGGGTTTTATTGTTTTTACCCACCAGTTGAAGAACACCACTCTCATACTAAGAAGACGCTACACCCGCATGTGTTGTCTCTGTCTTACAAACACGTCACAACAAAGCAAATCTTTAGGTTTTGAATAATCTATTTAACTCTGTTTTGTTTAGTATTAAGCCATGACTATACCAAAGAAATGTTTGCGTTGACAAATATAATGTGTTTCCATTAAATGTTTCTTGGTCTGGACCAATAGTAAGACCCATAGAAGTATGAATATTACCTAATGAATCTCCCAAGTTTTTTTAAATTTAAATTTTAAAGCAAGTTATTATAATTTTTAAAATTGTAGTGTCCTTTTAATAATTCTACAACAAACATTTTCTTTTATAGGTAATCAAACAAATATTTAAAATGAAAATCAAATATAATAAACTGATTCTATTTTTTTATCTATCACTAAAATAATAATACTTTTAGTATATATTTGTATTTTATACAGAGTACCAATCCAATATTTGTAACCTAATTATCTAAACCTGGTATTTTTTTTACTATAATTTGACAGTGGTAATACCAAGTCATGTAGCTCTCATAGATGAAATTCTTCCGGTGCAACTAGTTGTACAACTTGTGTAAAAAGGTGCATTTATCAGTTAAAATCTCTATTTTCTGGTGATGTGGGTTTTATCACTTGAGCCTTTCCTTGATAAAATTATTACATAGGAATATATTTTTAACAAATATCATCATTACTATTCATCCGTTAATTAGCTTATATACCTATTATGGGGCATATTATGATAACATTTAGTCTATTGTAGTGTTATATTTAAAACTACAAGAACGAAATTATTTTGCTTACTTGCTCAATACTGATCATAAAAAAAAGTTGATTAATTTCATTTGTACAATTGATTAATGAATAAATTACAAATGGTTTTTTCATTGATTTAATAACTTATGCTTTGTTTTAAAATATTGAAGTAATGGATTATAGTTTTTTTGGGTTTTGGGTTTCCATTTTTGCTTTTTATGGGATGTATGTTATAATTTATAATATTATATTATATTGGGATATTGATACAGATTAATTGATTTACAACTGTTTAAGTCCATATTTTAAAATTATTAAGTCATACTATTTATGCTTTATGTCAATTCAAGGTTATAATTACTAAGTCGAACAAAATATTTTTGTAGGAGATCTAACTGATGCAAAAAAAAAAGATGGTATTGGATCAACACAGTATGAAGGAGAATGGTTAGCGTACCACAATGTATTAACATCTGGGAAAGTGTCTGAAAAGACAAAATGGTTAGATATTCGTGGAAATCATGGTAAAGTTTCAAAAATTTAAATGTATTTTAAGATTTACTTAATATAATAAATGTAATTCAATTTATATTTTTAGATAGTTTTGATGTAAACAATTTAAACTCTCCAAAAAATTTTTACCGAAAATATTCTGAACAAGGCCAGTCTCATCCACGATCATACAAATACAAAGTTACAAATCATGCTGGAATGAGTCTTAATATGATTGCAGTTGATGCTTGCTTGGATCCAGGACCAAAAAGACCATTTAATTTTATTGGAAACTTGGATGAAACTGAAATACTTCATCTACAATCTTTAGCAAATAATACCAAAGATCCTATAGTATGGTTTGGACATTACCCAACTTCATGCATTGTTACATCAGGAAGTAAAAATGTAAAACCTGATACCAAATTAATTTGTGCATGTATTTATTTGATACTAATTTGTTGCTTTTAGGTAAGGTCCATTATAGGTGAAAATCCAATGTCTATTGTATACTTATGTGGTCATTTGCATACATTAGGTGGTTTGGTACCACAAATGTATACAATGCAAAATGAAGGATTTGCAGAGTTAGAATTAGCCGACTGGAAAGATGGAAGAGCGTTAGTAGAATCTAGATTAAATGTAAAATTGACTATTAACATTGCTGTCATATTTCTTCATAGGTTTAGATTAATAGCATTTGATCAAGGTTCATTTTCATTTATTGACATACGCCATGGTCAATGGCCAATTATATTAGTCACTAATCCAAAAATACCATGGCTTACTGTACGTAATATGGAAACTGAAGAAGATCGAAAGTCAAATATTAAATATATTAGGTATTTAAATATATGTTTTAAAATAATTATACAGCATTCATGTTTCCTTTGAATCATAATTTATTGAAAATTCAATGAATGTATGAACAATTGCTACAGTAGATTTTATCATTGGCTAATTTTACTAAAAGTTATAACCAAAACACTAAAATTTACAAGATACAGGGAAATGTATGTCATCTGTGTAAAATAAAATGTGTTAAATATAACACTAAAATTAATTAAATAAAAGCTGTTTTTTTTTTAATATTTTGAATATGCTGAAATTAAGTTAAATTGTACGCCCTCAGACCAATACTCAATAGTGATAAAGCTTCAAAACTTGTAAATAAATATTTTAATTTTTATATTATATTGTACCATAGATTAAAATATGACACTAGTATTATTTAATCTATGATAATACTCTTAAGTATTTTAAATATTAAATACAACTATCTGTATTATAATTGTTATGTGGTCAATATTTAAGTTACAACAAATAAATATGCATAATGCAAAAAAAATTCAAAAATATCATTTTCATGAATGTAGACTGTAATATAAAGTATGCTACTTAAACATCAAGGATTATATATTCTGTAGTATAATAGCTATACATATGCACTTGGCTATTTTAAATTGTCTCATCTTTATACATAAATAATGAAACCTTCTCTTACATTTGATTGTATGTATTTTAAATCTCAAAAAAGATTATTTTTGTGTTAAATTTAATTACTAATTTTTATTTACTTATTTTAGAATATTAGCCTTTTCTGTTGATCCTATCAAACACGTATTAGTACAAATAGATAAGGAATATAAATGGAGAAATTGTAGTAATGTGGAAGGTAGTCCTCTTTATATAATTGAATGGAATTATAATGCATATTCAAGTGGATTGCATACATTACATGTAAGTATTTACAATTAAATAAGTTGAAACATTTTAAGTTTAATTTGTATTGTCATTATAATGACAACTTACATCAAACTAAAAAATTGCTCTGTTCAAAAATATAATGCATACAACTGATTTAAGAAGTATGTTATAACTCTTGTAGGTTACATATTATGTTTATAGTAACATTCTAATAAGTAATGATCAATAAGACTAAAGCACTTAATTGACTGAAAAGTAATTTCCTTATTATGTTCGGTTAAATCAATATTTAATTTATAAATCAAATGTTCCTCTTAAAACTTTTAAAAGGACAAATTAATTAGCCCTTTAAAATTGTGATAGTGACTTGAATTGTATTTTAACAACTAATATTGTTTATTAAAATATTATATCCATTTATTATTTACTATTTGGAATTCTGTTTAATTATATCCAGGTTATGGTAGAAGATATTCAAGGACGTAAACATGAAATTAACCATCCCTTTTCATTAGACAATTCTAAACCGGGACTCAAATTATTTTCACAGTGGCCACTTAATGTTTATTTTCCCGATGTGGTAAGTTTTTATGTTTGGTTTGCACTCTAATTGTTTAAATTGGTCATATTAGAGTAAATTTAGATTTTGTAATTATATATCAGGGGTCACCAACTAAGTTTCATGAAGGTCCGTTTTGAAACTTACCAAACTTTCCGCGGTCTCAAACAGTTTTATTGACTTTTACTCATGTTCATAAATATATTTTTTCTTCAATTTGCATTTACTTGTATCAATTATTTAAATAATATTTTATATGACACACTTACAACTTTTAAATTTATATTATAAAAATTTAAAAACTATTCTAGATAAAGGTCTGTAAAGTAGTGTTTGCGGTCCCGCTAGTTAGTAACCCCTGTTATATATCACAAATACTATTTTTCATGAGTTTCAAAATGTTACCATCTTTTTCTTCCTTATCTCAACTTCAATATGAATTGTGTTAATTATTACTAGTGTTCAAAACTGAAATCACTTAAAAAAATACTAAACGTGCATGCATTTTATGTGCTTAAAAGTACAAAAATTGTGCACTTATTTTGTTTATTCAAATATTTTCTATTACTTTAAGCAGTTAAGCCCAGAGATAATTTACTAATAAAACATAATGGCTAAAGAACCAATAAATATTTAAATAAATAAGTTAAGAATTGCCTACTTGGCTATTGTGGTTGGGTATGAGTATGTTTGTGTTATATTAAATTTTAAAGCCATAGTAAATCATTGTTTATCTTATAATTCTGAAAGTAGTTAAATTTAAAATACACATAATGACATTTCTTCTATATTTTTATTTAAGGTTATCATAATATGAATAACTCTCTTCTTGGTTTATAAGAAAACTGTGCTAACATTATTTTTGTTAATAATTCAAAATTGTTATTAGATTAATTCTGATATGACCAAAGTAAGCATTTTTGATAGTTTTTTTTTTATTAAAAATAAGGTGTTTTTGCAGTTACTTATGATGTTTGTGATTGCATCTTTGGCTAACCTGTTGCCGCTTATAGTTTATCGATTTGTTAGCAAATGCACAAAATGTAAGTGGTTTTTGTCTCAAACTAATGCCTAGCTAAGCATATCTAATATTTTTCAACTTAATATAAGTACTCTACTAATACAGAAGAATACCACCATTCAATATTTGTACATACATTTACTCTTATTTACTAATTTTTGTTTTTACAAGAAATTTTCTTAATTTATTTTTAGATGTAAAACATTTATTATAAAAATGAAAAAGAACATTATTTGTTTTAATTTTGTATGATTGTCATACAATTTACTTAGCTTAAAGTTTATATTTAAATAATTAACACTAAAGGTTTATGGAGTTTTATTTTTCATTATTTTTAATATGACAGTTGAATTTCAAAATATTGTCTTCTTTAATTTTGGCGTTATGAATTTTTATTTTTATTTTAATAAAAAATGTTCATTTACTATTTATATAATATATCAGATATAAAAAGGATACTATTATAATAAGGAAAAGCCAAATTAGAAAGATACTTCTACAAAATACTAAAGTGAATATAATTCAGTAATGTCAAGTGTGGGATTGACAAAAACATGGTAGGTATTGACAGTTTCTTGCTACCTACTAACTGTGCTCTTGAATACTGCCCTCATAAGCTAATATGCTGTAAGTCACTTTCAAACTTTTTATAAAAAAAACGGATTTTTATGCCTTATATTTTTTTTAAATCATAACAAATCGTACATTTTACTGTTTTCAATTATGATATATGTTTTCCTTTGTAAATTTGCATGACAAATATAATAAATAAATAAATATTTAATTAAATAACTTCTTTTTTAAGTTGTTCCTTAGTATTGGCTTATAACTGGTATAAAAAATTGTATATTTTGTTTTTTTATTAAATATAAATAAATTAAGTTATTTGGATTTTATTACAATTTTAAATTCACTCTACAAATTACTATAGTCTATAGATTCTATAGTATAGAGCAGTGGTTGGGATAATACTGGTTTTTTGTAGTGCGCTAATGCTACAGCTACAGTAACCTGTCATTACTTTTTTTAAATGTAGAGTGCTACTTTTAACGCTATTGTTTAAATACCTCAAAATTGTTTCTTTAATTTTTTTTTTTTTGAAACTTTGTAGTTTGTACTGATTTGACATTTAGTCACTGGACAGGATTTGACAATGTGAGTTAATCATGGATTAAACCAAAAAATCCACTAATACACTCATTATTATTATAATTATAAATATAATATTTGAGTTATGCCCAATTAGGTTGTAAGTAGCTGATAAAATAATTATAACTTTTGCTACGCTAACTGTATATTTCTAGCACTCTATAGTATTTTGCTATATTATATGCTAAGTTTATCGCAACAAATAAAGTAACTTGCTACTATAGAATCGCTACAATTAGTGGGCTACTCCCAACCACTGCTATAAAGCTAAAATGCCTACAGTTACAACAATTTTGCTCAGTCTAGTTATTTTATGGTGTATTTACCTAGTACTCGTGAATTTTTCAATGACTTACAGCATTCAAAATGTTTGAATATTGCCTATATTATTAGACTCGTGGTGTATTCGTTTAAACGAGTTCAAATTTAGAAAATTTTTTGGTTTTACCTCATTTTTCAAAACATTTTGGCATTTTTAGCTAATAAGGACAGAATACTTGTATGCTATTACATAGGTATACTAATTTCTTCAATATTCAATTTACTGAATTAAAAAAAAATAGCCTAAAGATTCGGATACCAATCACTGAAGACTTTTGATTTTTTTACTTTAGCCTAAAATTTTAGTATGTTGTGAATTAAAAATTTTCAGGAAATAATTAAACAGTCCTAAACTAATAATTCTATATAGACTTGAATGAATATACATTTATACTGTACTTGCTGATATTTCTTCTAAATGTTTTGTTTGTTAGTTATTAATTGAAGTGTCATTATAAAACTACAACCTGAGTTCAGAATCAGTTTTATAATTAAATTAATATAATGGTCACTTTTAAATTTAATTCAAATATATAATGCGAAACTGAAATAAGATAATTTTATTCTGAGTCTGAAAATTATTACATAAAGATTTTTTTTTATGAAACAATAAAATTTATGTTGAAAAAATATTTTTTTTTAATAGATAGAATCAACTATAATGCAAAATTATCACTGATCAAGAGATACTCAAGAAAAATGATTTTATTGTCAAGTGTGAATCGTATATTTTACACTCTACTTTTATTTTACATTTATCTGTGTATAGGTAATCAATTAATTTCTTATGATAATAAACTTTACAATTTTACTATTCATATTTTTTAATTTTTGGGTTAGGTCCATGGGCTGTTGGAGAACTTGTAACTGACTTGATGGGTTGGGTCTTTCCATGGGGCATTTATGTCAAGGGAAAACTTATAAAGGATTCTTTTATATATGCATATGGTTTTGGACAAGTAAGTTGATTGAAACTATGGCTGTGAATTAATTCATTGTTTAAGTATATAATTTATTTATTAACTATTATTATTGTTTTAGATTTTAACTTTTCAATTGCCTCTTAACTGCATACTTAGTCACCGACTTGACAAAAGGTATACCTATGAACTGTTTCTTTAACAAATCAATGAAAACAATTAAATTATTATTTTAGAATGCAATCATTACCAAATACCCAATACACATTTACTACTTCACCGTATATTTATGTGGATATGATTTTTTTCTTTCTGATAATTTGGCAAATTGTGTGTTGTATATGGTTTTTTGGAGCATATGGTTGGATAGCTACTTTATTTGGTCCATTAAAAACATGGTCAATTTTTATTGCACTTTGGCTTTGGAATGAAACCCGAAGAATTACTATACATGAGATACGATATGCAACAGGTAATGGTAGGTACCACCAAACAACTCAATAAAATAACCTAGATTTGTATACCTATACTTTTATACGTTTTGTATTTCATATTTTGCATGATTATGAAATTAAAAATTCACAATATTAATATTTGTTGTATTTTTTTATGTTCATTGAAAACAGGTGTAATGGAAAAACTAAATACAAATTAAATACTGTTTAATATTGTATTATTGTTTATTTCACAATTGTGTAGAAGTACACTATTGTTAACGTCCTATATTGACATTTGTGATTTGTCAACATTATTTATTGATCCCTATAGTTTAATTTATCACTAACTTTATAAATATATCAATATAATATAATATTTACATTATTTTATTATTTTAATTTATTTGAAAACAAAAACATACATAATTATACATTTATTTATATACTGTAAAATTTATGGTTTTTTAAGTATATTATTTATCTACTAAAATTATTTTTATTTTTATTTTAAAATTGACTTAATATTTGTCAAACAAATTGTAAATCCTATTATAATCTATAGATACCAAAGCACTAAAATTAAGTTATTTAACAATTTTTGTTTGTGTCCTAATAATTATAAGCAGATAGTCTTGAAGGTAGTTACTTTGTAATTTATTGCGTTTGATTGTTGTTTTTTTTTTTTGAGTGATTGAGATTAAAAATAAAATGTTGGTAGAACTTGTGTAAAAGATAATTTCTTGAGGTTGTATTTCAGATTATAAAGATTTCAGTTATAGACATTTTATAGACAATTAAAGAAAAAAAAAGAATAATTCAAATAGTTTCAATAATAACTATAATGATTATTGTAATCTTTAATTCACCCAAAATAAGTTGATGTAAAATATGTAATAATTACTAACTAGGTAGGTACTGTAAAATATTGGTATACTGAAACACTGACACCGGCATTAGTAATTATATCATATAGTAAATATAGTTGATCATAAAAGTCCTCTAAAAATGTTTTAAAAAATGAAGTGTTAAATAATTATTTATTTATTGTACCTTATTTAAACTGGCTGGGCTTCTTTTAAGAGGACGCCACATGGCCATTTGTTGTATCCGTCTTACAGACGTACAGCATGGCAAATTTTACTTTCACAATAATAAATTTTACTCTGACATTTCTAAAATTAAAGTGAATTTACCTATTATAAAATTTAAAAGCAAGAATATTATATAGAGCATCTTAGAAGATTTTATTAATATTATTATTTTACTATAAGTTATAATTATTTTAAATGTGCAAAAAATGTACTGTTTAAAAATGGTCATAAGTTACTCATAACTTAAAAATAACAATATCAATAAAATCCCCTGAAATACTGTAGATAATATTCTTGCCTTTAAATTTGATGAGAGGTTAATTCAAATTAATTTTAAAAATTACAAACCACCGTGCCACCATACCCGACCCCATATTAATTTGTTACTGTTGTTTGAAAATGACTGAATTGATGTTTATTTTTTTAATTCATAATAAATGATTGTTCAGATTCAGGGGCGTTATTTCTATTCTTTGAAAATTCTGATAACAACTAGACAGGCCAAAAAAATGACAGCTGGACAATGTATGTAGAGAATTATTACAAAAAAAATTGCTCAGTTAGTACTTAAGTTATTTTTATTTAAATATGAAATAAACACTATTGTCCCTATAAATATTGTGCCTACATTAAACAATAATCCTGAAATTCTCCGGCATGGCTAAATTATTTAGTATAAACTAAACATTTGTGTATTCCATTTAAATAATGCATTAATAATAGTATCACATGACCATAGTTACTTTTCTTAGGGTTAAGAGTTAAGACCAATTTAAAAAAAATATACATTATTCTTTCCTGGTTCAGAAAAATTATAGTCTGGCCAAAATTCAATCTTAACAAATTTTAGGTAGGTATGCATATAAGCATACCCTTCAACGCCTCAAATGACGCTCCTATGTTCAGTTGATTTACAATCAATGTTTGGTAATTGTGATAAAGTACACTCGATTATATTGAAACAATTTAATTAATAAACAATTTCTTTGTTGGGACTCCAAATTGTATGGTATATTCTAAAATCTAAATGTCTAAATGTGCCTACTTAATTGGTTATAGTTGTACGGCGAACCGTATAGGCAATACAAGTACATTACTGCGTCGATAAACATCATCTAACCTTCAAACTACCGTCATCTAATAATCTTTTTGTATAATAGATGATAACAAAGGATTCAAATGGTGAAAATCACTATACCAAAAAATGTGAATTAAAATATTTGTTTAAATTGTACTGATGACCCTCGACTTTTCAGAGTATAATATTTTTATTGCAACTATTTACAGTTTGGTCTTATGGTGATAAAAAATACTAGGAAGACTGGATGCGTTTCCACCACCAAATTGTATATTAATAAACAATAGCACAATGCTTCGTTAGAGCAATAAATGTTACTTATAATCCAGTAAAAATACGAATTATGTTCTACGCATAATGGAGGTGCGTAATAATGAAAGAGGTAGAATCTTGGGGCCCACTAGCACTTACTAAATAATTGTATTTAAATAAACCATAAATGACATTAAAAATGTTTTACAAATTATTTTATTTTACCTTGGTAATTTTACTCCAATGGTGCTTGTAGCACGGGTCTATAAAACCACAATTTCAAAATAATTGCTTATTTACTTCTATCCGTCTGAAATATGGAACAGATGATTGCTGTTTTCCTATACCCTGGATCAATTTTTTCTGTAAACAAGTATGCACTGTGTATAAGCTGTAAAACATACATGTATTTGTTGAAAAATTCCCGAGTATAGAGTACCAGCTCTGAGCTTACATACTCCATAATATATATTATATACAGAACTATAGAAGCCTACGAGAGCCGGTAGGTCTCGACATGACGTGAACGGCATGGGCTTTTCCCTCAAAATATTTTCAGTGGCTGAAATAAGTGTTTTTTGCAGCACTATGTAATATATCCTATACCTATAGTAGCGATCTTGTAATCGGTGATCGGTCAGTGCCCAGTGGCGCATCAACAGCATATAGAATAGAGTTTGGTCTGGGGTATCAGTCTGTATATTTTTCGAAAGTGAAAAAGTTTAACGAGCGCTAATATCCGTAATCCTAATATTCTAAAATACCTAATTCTTTATAGCTTATATTCAAATGTTATAGCTATAATTTCGAATCTAAGGAAAAAAGTGTCCTATAGTTCATAATTGTTAAGTAAACTAAGCTTAATTATCATACAATGACAATTGCCAATATTGTTAAATTGAAAAAAACCATTTTTGTAAATTTAAACACTACACGATAGGAAATCGAAATAATACTTTGATTTTTAACTGCAGAATCTATTCTTGTGTGAAAGTAGGTGTTTTAGAAAAATTGCCAGTAATTTTCAAATGCACCAGAAAAAAACAAAACAAATTAAGGTAAAATGGGAATTTGTGCAAAAAACCAGTTTTTGAAAATATCGATTTTCTATTGTCGATATAACTAAAAACAAATAAAATAGATAGGTGTAATTTTCTCCGAATGTTTATGATAGAATTTTCTATACGTCATCATAAAAGGTTATTAGTTTTTTAAAAATTATTATTGTCGAAAAAAAAGTGTTTGCTCGGTCAAAAACCTTGAAACTTTAATACCTAATTTCTCGTTAGTTTTTATTAGTGTAGTATAAAAAAAGTTTAGACTGAATTCACAATAAATTTGTATGGGATTTTTTTAAAGTTGGCAAATTAATTAATCAAGCATAGCCCCATGATTTGTCTTTCGGTACGACCCTGACTTTGAACACAGAGAAGGGGCTATAAAAGGGTTCGAATAAATACTTGTCTGTTGAAATACGGTTCACATAAAAAACGTGTCGGTTATAATACTGTTCTGCTAATATATTCTTGTTAACGTTATTATTTTTTGGCGGTAGTACAGATCGGCCGAAATATTTTCGTCCATTTTACGCTCTCCGACACACAATATAGTTCTACGTCACACTAGTGTAGGTCAAACGGCGAGGGTGATGGATGGGGGTCTCTCTTGATTTTTTTTTTCAATATTTACAATAGTTATAATATTATACAGCCACATAGTTAAACAGGTGATCATAAATAATATATATTTAAAAATTTCAATGATCAAACAGTGTACGTCAAAAAATTCAGCCCCCCCCCCTTCACCGTCACTGAATTATTCGACCGCCACTGCGTCGGAGCCTCGGAGGTGTGCACGCGTATCACACTGTCCGCGTTTTCGCGCATGTGCATAGCCTACTGTTTTCGCGCATACTGCATTGTGCAATCATTGAATCACGAAATATATTATTAAAATACACGGTACACTGTAGTTGGTTGCCTATGCTGCATTGCTCATAGACCTATTAACTCAATGAGTTAATAGGTCTATGGCATTGCTGCCCATTAAAATAATATTTGCACTCTTCTTATCATTGAGAGCAAATAGCAATATGCTCACATCAGCATTATTACTATGGGCCACTGGAACGTACAAGTGTGTAATTAGCATTGTCAGTGGTAAATAGCGACTGCATTTTTTATTTCATCATGGCGTGTTTGTTCGTAGTGTGTTTAATGTAACTGTGTTTGTAAACACTAAAGTAGTATAGTACCATACCCCACAGGCATACATTTTACATGTACTTGTAATACTTTGGTTCATGATCTGCTCTGATATAGAGGTCAATGATATTAGTTATTTATTAACCCCTCTGATATTTTTTTCATCAAAGCACTCCACAGTAACTAACTGTTAGAACAAATTAAAAGTGTTGTAATCTATGTATAATGCCTGTATAGTACCTATGTTTAAGTACCCTGACTAATTTACTAACTATTTAGATAAATTTTTATCAAAATATTGACTTTTGAACTATCAACTATCAAGGTCTTGTAATTGTTATTTGTTCGCTATAATATGTTCTTGAAATTACTATGTATATATTCATAAATGTATAATATGTATATAAAATACCTAAGTACACTCTAAGATAGTATATTGGTGTTAGTGATATTTTTTATAAATTCTGAACAGCACTAGTAGTACTGCGTTTCATTTACTGTTAAACATCAATCTATTTTTTTTGTAACTTATTTACTTTTATAGGTACTATACCTATAGTCTATATAGAATTAGGTTTTTAGATTTTGTATGAACTAACACCTATTATTTTTTTGTTTAGTAATAAATGGATTCTGCTTCTACTGAAAATACAAATCGACTTAAGCCACTCAATGAATTAAGTAAATATCAAAATTATTATTTTAATCTTTTGTCTTATCCTGAATTTTCTATTACAGCTTATAGATGAAATAAAATGTTTCAGTAACTTAACTCATAGTTTTTTTAAAAATTGATTTGATGATTATTTTTAAGAAATGTTCACAAGGTTTTTGATATTTAGCAACTTTATTTTGTAGGTAATGAAGATCAACTTTTAATATCTATGTGCACACTGGCTAGGGAGAGGGCATATGTTCCATACAGCAACTTTAAAGTCGGTGCTGCCTTGCGATGTGATGATGGTACCATATTCTCAGGCTGCAATGTAGAAAATGCCTCGTACGGGCTCGCAATATGTGCCGAACGTACAGCTATTGTGAAAGCTGTAAGTGAAGGAAAAACTAAATTCACTACAATTGCAGTTGCAGGATTGAACAATAATCAATTTGTTCCTCCGTGTGGTGCTTGTAGACAAGTATTAAGTGAATTTAATAATCCCAATAATGACATGATCGTTTATTTATACCAACCTGAGGGTAGTGATGTAGTTATGACAAGTGTGTCTGAACTACTTCCATTGGATTTTAAATTTAATACAATTTAATGAATTGATAATAATCAAGTAAAAATAGCTTATCTATTAACTTTTTTAAATTATACCTATTATGAGTTAAGGTTTTGACAAATTTGCTTAAGATTTTTTTAATGACTGTAGATACCTTTTAACGCACTAACCTTTTATATTTTATACTTATTATTTCAATTTATTTGTACGATATCATTATTTATGAAAAATAAAATAATTATGCAAGTACAGGGTTCTTATTTTTTTGATTGGATGTAAAAATATAAATATAATATTTTATAAATGTATATCATAGTTTACAACTTACAAGTGTATTTAGTCTATGTATACTTACATAACTAATTGTTAAATATTCTTTTCTTGAATAAATCTATGGAATAAATATTTTAGTTTTTACTAAATAATACAAAAGATAATATATAGGCAAGTAAATAAAATTATAGATTAACTTACATGCTTAAAATAATTGAATTTTTATCTTTGGAATTTGGTTGTCCAACTACTTTTCCAAAGAAAAAAAAACATTTTGAATGCTATTATTTAAGTTTTTTTTATATATTATGTACGAATAAAAATTGTTTTGTACTTTTGTCGTTAATATATTTTTACATTATGGTTTGAAGGAACATTTCTTATTCTATAGGTATTTAAAAAAACTGAATAATCACTAGTTAAATAAAACAGACATGATGGTAGAAGAGAGACCTGCCTATAAAGTACTACCTATGTAAAACCATGTGATGAACTACATATATTATTTGTAGAAGGTAAGGTAAGAAGTTAACCCCCGTCTAATAAAACCTTAAATGATTCCACTCATCGCCTATTTTATATTCATTCACCTATTGGCTATTACTATAACCAAATATATAAAAGCTTTATTATTATGCATATGTTCTAAACCTTAAGTTTGATTATTGATGCCTAAATCACAGAATAGATTAAATTTTATCTATTCTGTGCCTATATAGTGAAAATAACTTATTTGTATTATTATTATTATTATTGCTTGTTCGGTGTTCCCAAAAATCAGAATTTGAAGAAATTTGTTATGAAAGTGGTTTAGTGTAGAAAGTTTAGTGGTGAGCATACGGTTAAGAAATATTAATATGTACTCTGGATAAAAATAACTTTTTCTTCTCTACAATATATACACTGTCACCAGTTGGACATCGGTCATAGACACTTGATTGCTGTGGTACCTAGTACCTATCTAACATGATGAACAATTTTGTCATGGTATCTACCATAGACATAATAATATATTTTTATGTCTATGGTATCTACATTTATTAATGATAGCTTTATTTAGTCATGGCTTGACGTAGGTATATCTGTGGTTTATATCTCATTTCTATGATCTGTATGTTATATTTAATTTCTTAAATACTTAAATACATCGTTTAAACATTTCATGTATCATAAAAACATAATATTACGCATGATAAAACGAATTTACGTAAATAATAAATATAGTCTCAATGATGTAATAGGCTTAATATTTATAAATTAATTGTTATTTTTATTTTTTACTTTTCGAAAAATATAGCTATTAGAAATGTCCAGGATATTAGAATTTTGACTGATAATGTAATCACACGAATTTAAATTGTTCCACGGTTATAGTATAAATAAAAAATAAGTAACAACAGATTTAATATAATTCAAAGTTGTTAAAATCTTAAAATTATGGTCATTTTAAAAAAGTGGCGGTCATTGTCTTATGTTTTTTTTTAACCAAGCAAGTTAATCATCTGTTATACTATAAAAAATGGATCATACGTCATGAGGTTTCTTCATACAACGTCTTTGATATTTTGATAAAAAATAAATTGATTGTTGATACAATTATACAAATATTATGTTTGTGCAACAACCTTAATGACTTACAATAACCACTTATTTAATATTTATTAGTTATAATTACATGAAGCAGAGTCAAAGCACTGTTCACTCATGTATTTTTTTGTTTTAAAATAATTTATATGTATTAGGTTTTGTTAAAAGTTAATTAGTTATAACATTAAAAATGTCGGATTACGACAGCGATCAAGGGAGTGATCGCGGTGGCAGTGGCAGTGAACCTGAGGTAATAGTCATAAACAGCAGTAAGGAGTAGAACATGTTCATCCAACATTGTGTTTTTAGGAAGATTTAAATCCACGATATCGTAAACAGGCTTCTAGCCGTAGTGCAAGTAGAAGTCGTTCTCCAAGCGGATCTGAAGCAGAGGAAAATAACCAGTAATAGCTAGAATTTTTGTGATAAGCACAAACAATACTAAATACAAATTTGATTATTGTTACAGTGAAGAAGAAGTTGCAGATGAACAAGAGCCAGAAGGCGAGGATTTAAATTCAGAAGATGTAAGTTTTGATGAAATTGTTTGTTGTTATTTCAAATACTTAGATTTTATTTTTGTTTGTCAGGAATATGATGAAGAAGAAGATGAAGAAGATGATCGTCCGGGCAAAAAGAAAAAGAAAAATGAACGTTTTGGCGGTTTTATTATTGATGAAGCTGATGTAGACGATGAGGTAGAAGACGATGATGATTGGGAAGATGGAGCTGGCGAATATGGTATTGTTGCTAATGAGGTTGATGAATTAGGACCAACTGCTAGAGAGATTGAAGGACGCAGACGTGGAACTAACCTTTGGGAGTAAGACTATATTATAATTGTATGTACTAAATGTGTAGAATAAGCTCATGCACTATTTTTCCCTATTTTGAACTGGCAGCCATATTGAATCCGTGTTAACATTACTACCATTTCTGCCTTTGTTTATATTGAATAAAAAATTTGAATAACTGTTTATGTCCACTCAATTGAGATAACTAATCTACTTTCCTTATTTGATAATATCACGACTCTCGTATAGTTGTATGAGTGTATGATCGTATCTATTGAACGCTCTTCTACTATTAGGAAAAATCATCACGTGAAAATTTACATTGTAGTTATATTTTAATTGTAAGATTACCTAAGAAATAATAATTTGTATATTTTATTACTTAAAATTAAATAGAAAGACACATTAATCAAACTCGTGTACATATTTGATAACATTTGATTTACCTAATATTAAAAAAAAGTTGCAGTATCAATTAGAAATCACCTAGTATATATGAACAGATTCATAGGTCCAATGAGTTGCAAAAGGTGCTGGTCTTGGCTTGATCTCAAGACACATTAATATGTACAATTTATTTTAAAAATAAATTATCATACAAATATATTTTTAGTACTCAAAATGAAGACGAAATTGAAGAATACTTGCGTAAAAAATATGCAGATGCATCAGCTACAATAAAACATTTTGGAGATGGAGGAGAAGAACTGGCTGATGAAATTACACAACAAACTCTTCTACCCGGTGTTAAGTAAGATTTATCTTATACTATGTATGAAAAGTATATTAAATGTAAGCATCTCGTAAAGGGACCCAAATTTATGGATGATCAAATGTCGTATTGGTGATGAAAAAAATACCGCTTTACTTTTGATGAGGAAGTATATTGCGTACCAGTTTACTGAAGATCCATTAAAAATCAAATCAATAGTTTCCCCTGAAGGAGTAAAGGGATACATATACATTGAATCATACAAACAAACCCACGTGAAATCAGCCATTGAAAATGTAAGCAGTCTTAAAATGGGATTTTGGAAACAGCAAATGGTTCCTATAAAAGAAATGACTGATGTTTTAAAAGTTGTTAAAGTACAAACAGGCTTGAGATCTAAACAATGGGTTCGATTAAAAAGAGGTTAGTTTATTATAGGAATAACTTATAAGTTATAAGTAATTATATTCTCTCAAGTAACACAGTTATCCTTATTCTATAACTGTATTTTTGCAGGTTTGTACAAAGATGACATTGCTCAGGTAGATTATGTAGACTTGGCCCAAAATCACGTACATTTGAAACTATTACCAAGAATTGACTATACCAGACCACGTGGCGCTCTCAGAGCATCAATGGTAACTAGTATAAGGAATTCTTTAAAATTAAAATTTGTACTATTTAATATTTATTACTAGGATGCAGAGGCTTTGAAAAGAAAGAAAAAAAGGCGCCCTGCAGCTAAACCATTTGATCCAGAAGCCATCAGGGCTATTGGTGGTGAAGTAACCAGCGATGGTGACTTTTTAATATTCGAAGGAAATCGTTACAGCCGTAAAGGATTTTTATACAAAAACTTCTACATGAATGCAATAACAGCTGACGGAGTCAAACCTACACTGTCAGAACTTGAAAAATTTGAAGAAGCTCCTGAAGGCATAGATATAGAATTACCAGTTTCAAATAAAGATAATTCAGCAAACAGTCAGTCCTTAAGTTCTGGTGATAATGTGGAAGTGTGTACTGGAGAGTTGATAAATTTACAAGGAAAAGTGTTGTCTATTGATGGAGATATGGTCACTATTATGCCTAAACATGATGATCTCAAAGTAAGTTGATACTTAGTAATATAAGTACAGATTTAATGTATCATTGGTTCTTTTAGATGCCGCTGGAATTTATGGCAAATGAATTACGCAAATTTTTTAAACAAGGTGACCATGTAAGAGTAGTAGGAGGACGTTATGAGGGTGATACTGGACTTATTGTTCGAGTAGAACAAAATCGAATTGTGTTATTTTCTGATGTCACCATGCACGAACTCGAAGTATTACCTCGTGATTTGCAATTGTGTTCGGACATGGCTTCTGGAGTTGATTCACTTGGACAATTCCAATGGGGAGACCTTGTACAATTAGAGTATGTATTGAATAAATATCTTTAAACCAAATTATCACAATTTATATTTATACTTTTTTTGATAGTCCACAAAATGTTGGAGTGATAGTGAGAATTGAGCGTGAAAAAATGCATATTTTGAATATGGCAGGAAAGTTGGTTGAAGCTAAACCACAATCTTTAAATAAAAAAAAAGAGCATAGAAATACAATTGGAGTTGATGCTTTAGGAAGTTCAATACAAAGAAAAGATATCGTTAAAGTTATTGATGGTCCACACACGGTAATTTAGAATCAATATTGAATAATCTTGATTACAAATATTTTAATAATTTATTTTTATGATTTAGGGGATGCATGGTGAAATAAAACATCTGTATCGTCATCATGCCTTTTTGTATTCCCGTTTAATGACAGATAATGGAGGAATTTTTGTTTGTCGATTACGACACATTGCCCTAGCTGGAAATTCAACTAATAAAGTAATTATTAAAGCCAATTTATTTTAATTAAGTACTCATTGGTTTTGTAACATTTTAGCAAGCGATAACTGCACCTCAAAATGGTTTTGCATCTCCTCAAATTACATCTCCTCGCCATACACCTGGTAGTCCATTCGGTGCTGGTGGGGGTGGAAGTGGGGGAGGTGGTGGTGGCCGTGGCGGAGGAGGATCAGGAGGTAGATTTGGAGGTGTTCGAAGAGACAGAGATTTAATTGGTCAGACAATTAGAATTACGGGTGGCCCGTACAAAGGTGCTGTTGGCATGGTCAAAGACGCAACCGAGTGTACAGCTAGAGTTGAACTTCATTCTTCTTGTCAAACAATATCTGTGGATCGAAGAAATATAACAATTGTTGGACAACCATCTAAGGATGGAAGATTAACATCATCATACTCTAGAACACCAGCTAATGTGATGATGACTCCTGGATATCGCGAAGGAGGCAAGACTCCTATTCAAGGTTCAATGACACCCAACTATGAAGTTGGTAATCGTACACCACACTTTGGAAGCATGACTCCATCTCATGATGGTTCTAAAACACCTACTCAAGCTTGGGATCCTGCTGCTGGGTATACTCCTGCTCGAGTAACTGACAGTGATTTAGAATATCCAATGGACCCTGGTACTCCTTATGCACAAACTCCAAATACATTATATGGTTCTTCAGATCATTCTTACTCACCATATCAAGCAATATCGCCATCAGGGGGTGGTGGATATAACAGTAAGTTATTAAAATATTATTCTTATTTTTAAATATTTTTACATTATTTTTATATAATAACAGGTAGTAATTCATATGCAAACACTCCAAGTCCAATCAATACTTCCAGCCCTCGTAGCATCCAGTATCACCCAGCCCCATCCCCATCAGGTTCTTATGCAAGTTTAATGACTCCATCATCAGTGTCATCTCCAGGATTAGCAGCTCCTTCATTAACATCGTTTGGTAATAAGTTATTTGTTGTATATTGTGTTAATATGTTATTAGTTAAACTTTTAACATTTTAACTATAAATAATTTTAGTAGCAGCATTACTTAGAAATAACCAAAATGTTATTTAAATAGGTTTACCACCAGGATGGCAAACTACAGATATTTTTGTTCGTATTGCTGATTCAGATTTGGCAGGACAAACTGGTATTATAAGAGATGTTAGTGAAGCCACATGCAGTGTTTATTTGCCTGAAGAAGAACGTGTGGTCACTATTGAAAATGATAATTTGGAACCTATTATGCCGAAACCCAGCGATTATGTGAAAGTTTTATGTGGTTCATACAGAGACAGAACAGGAAATATGATGGCGATTGAAGGTAGTGAAGGTGTTGTAGTAATGCCAGATGAAAAAAACCCTATACTTATACCGCTGTTGCATCTGTGCAGAGCAAATTAGTTTATTAAAGATTGGAAACATACATTTTTTTTTTAAAGTTACGTGTGGCTTTTAGTACTATATTAGAATACTTGAATATTGAGTACTTATAATAATAAGTTGTGAATTATTTTACTTAAGAAAAGGATACCCCTATTGAATGTACCCATTTAAATTTTTTAATTTTAATTATTGATATTATTGAACTATATTAATTTTGATAATTATTATTGTAGTATACAAATCATATTTAGAGCCGTTCTTACAATGTCCGGTTAAGTGTTGGTTAACACTAACCGGCAGTTAGTCTAATATGTTTCTTACCAAATGATCATCGACAGAATTCTGTCAGTAATTAAATCTGACTGTTAGCATTCACTTATGGAGACCTAATTGGGGTTGGTATGAACTGACTGTCAGTTAAATATAGACTAACCACCGTTAAGCGTTAATAGGTACTTAACCGGACATTGTAAGAATAGCCCTTGTTTAATAAACTATATGTATTGAAATAATAATAAATAAAATTTTATCTAAATATACATTAATTTATACAATTAATATGGTATAATTATTATTCACTAGTTTTAAATGTTAATAGTTTCTATTTGAACCCACATGTCCCATCATGCATCCTCCTTTTAACCACTTGAGTATAAATACTACATAAAACTAATAGCAGTCCAAGGACAATCGTTTCATACAACATAAATCAGTAAATCATAATATGATTATTGTCCTGCTCTCTCTCTATAATTAGTTACCGCGCTATAGATCAAAGGGAAAACAATTGAATCGTTTATTAATAAAATTGATGAAATTAGTATAAAGAGTATCCCAAAAAAGAATTTCTTAAATTAGAATCAAAGTTAAATCAAATAAAAATTAATTTGGATTTAGCTTAATGAGATTTTATTTTGTTTAAATAGAAAATATAATTTTCCACTCTAGAGTTAGAGCTGTTAAATAGACCACTAGACCCTCAACCAAAAGCTCAAAACCTAATTGTTTTTAATTTATTAGAACTCTCTTCGATGAAATAAACCCATTTGTGACTCTTTTTGATCATAATATATTATTATTTGAATAGTATGGTTAATGGCCATGACACACACTCATCAGTACGAACCTGGCGCAGATCAAAAAATATTACTTTATAGTCTCTCCTCCGCTTTCGTTTTGATTGCTCTACCCTGCACTGAGAGTGACATCCACATAATGTGTGAAAATTATCTTCTTAGAGAAGGGGGTAGCAGTGTGCTAGATATACTCAACCCTTCCCAAGTGAAAAAACATTAATAGAGACCAATAAGGTTGTTTCAATGAACTATTAGGAATAAAATATATTTCTATATACATACATATATTATTATTTTTTATTGTAATATTAATTCGCATGAGCATTATTATTTACTATCATATTCACTTTTATACTGCCATGTTATTAAAACTAGTATCGTTCATTGGTTGAAATTGGACCATATAATTATTTTAATTATAGATCAATACATTATAAAATATTTCATTTCTTATCGCACACAGTTCAGTATCAGAATTTGTGCTTCTTCTCTTTTTATCCACATGAGCTAGATAAGTAGGAAGAAAGGGAATTTCATATTTTAGATTTTTCTCTTACTGTGTATATATCTGTATACAATAACAAAAAGTGTTTGTGTATTTACATTATATAGAAATTTATCATTATTGATTAACTTAAATTTTTGACGGTAAAACATGAATTTATTCATTATTGTTATATTCATACAAATATTTGCATATTAAATTTATTGAATTATTGAACTACTGAATTAATAGGTGTTAATTACATCATTACACATTTTTTTTAAAAACAGTAAAATGATTTTTTATTCAGTTTATTTAATTTGCTACATTTTTTTCTATAGCGTATAGGGAAATGTATATCCTTTGGATTAACTGTTGTGCGCACACTATTTTTTCTTAATTTAAAAAAAAATCATTGTTTGCAGTTCAAACTAGAAATTGATTAATTGTATCTATCAGTTCATTCCAGTACAAGTAGGTCACTTCCTACCTTAAGTAGGAGGCAATTTAAGTGAATGATGTTATTGCAAATAGAAGGCAATTTGAGTAAGCTTTTAAAAAAAAATTAGAGGTAATTCTAAATCGCTCATGTGATATAACCCTAACTATAATCTATATATGTGACCGTAATGTAAATACTTAACTCTCTAAAGGAGGGAGGGTGAGGTCTTATTGCTGTTGCTTGTTAGTAATAAATTGTATTCAAAACTGTTAAACACATGATGGTGCCTATCATGCACTTACACGACCTGTAAAAGTTGACAAAACGTGAGAAAATGTGGTATCAATAATATTGCGGTTTTGTTTAAATACCTATTAATCATTTATTTTTAACATAAATATGTTTTTGGTATAGATACCATTTGTTTTTTGATTTTTGCGAGGCAAAATTAACATTAAACATCAAATCTTGAAAACTACTTGACCTATGAGCTTATGGGTAGGAGATGACAGCGAAAAACAGATTTTTTTAAATTCAATTACTAAATGAGTAAGACGGCTGATAGGGGTATGTAAGTTATATCTTTGGACAGCTATATCTGAAGTTCTACTGTACCGAATAGCCTGATTTTTATTTTAAACACAAGTGTCCTTTGGTAAGTAGATAAGCTGTTTAATGAGAAAAGTTTAAATAATTAATTAAATAGAAATTATAATATACCAGCGGCACCATCTACAAGAAGGTAAGTTATAATAACAATAATAGTAATTATCTAGAGTAATATTTATTATTTTGTAAAATGTTCGTCGTTAAAGTTACTTATTAAAAAAATGTATTAATGATTCAAAGATTTTCCTTGAAGAAGAAGAAAAATATCGAGTAGCATGTTACTAGAAGGTGTTTGTTTAAATATTTTTTAAGTTTTATAGGTCATTATATTTTGTACTCACAATAAAATAAAGATAATTTTTTTTATTAAAATGTAAAATGTGGAGGTCAATCTCCTATCCTCATATGGTTTTATATTTGTGTATGTTCAACAATAATTGTCATTTTTTCAGTGGGTCCTGGGTAAACATTGTAAATAATTACTATAAAAATATACAATTTGTATGTATTTTTTTCCACATTTCTTGTCATAGTTATTATTGAATTCAATTTATTTATTTGTATCTGTTCAATACTTAAGTAGTGTTAGGGTTAGGTTAGTCGCGCCATTCCATATAATAGCGTAAAAAAATGTTTCATAATTGTTTTTGTAAATAAGAGTTTATTTTCTGTCAATATATAAATAAAATAAATAAACTTTATACAATAAATTAATGTCTTAACATAATCAATTCATTTTGCACACTCAGAATTCATAAAATTGCATTTACATAACATAGGTATACAACTGAATAACATATTAATTTCTATAAAAATTTATAATTCATAATTTAATTAAAATACAACATATACATATTTAATAATAACTAAAAATAGTTTAATGTATTGTATAATTTATGTAATTAACATTGTAAATTAGTTTTCTACATTCATAATATTAATTTTTAGTCCAGTTCATAATTTAATAATAATACAACACAGCCATACTTAGTTATAACTCAAAAGACACATAATAATATTACATAATGCAAGTTAGTAATAAATCAAGTATTAATTAATGTAAAATAATAATTTTTTTTCTTAAAATAAAATATTGTAAACAGTCTCAGAAAAATAATCACTTGTTACATATAAAAAAAATAATATGTTTCTTATAGTATCTTAAAATGAACAAATAATAACAATTCATTTTACCAACTAATAGTTACAAATTCTGAATTTACAACCAAATAAAATAATTATATTCTTTTGGTTAAAACATATTTCCATTATCTATTGATCAATAAAAGTAAATTATCCTAGTGAAGTAGATATTATTATTTACAACTCAATTTTAACTAAAAAATTTACAAAATATAAATATCAAATGGTTTTGTTTAAAAAGTTCATATTTAGAGTCTAGATCTCGTCAAAAGGTTAAAATTAAAAAATTAAGTGATTTAAATAGGTATCAAACATAGACGTATAATTTTTATTTGACTTACTTTCTTGTAAACAAATATATTAAGTAGGTATTAAGAATAAAATTAATTGATCTTGATGGACTGTTGTGAGCGTTCAATATATAGATTTAACAATTTGAGCTTTGCACCATTTAGACTTGATATATGAGGAGTAAATTCTTGTGAACCAAATGCTTTATATAATGAGACCATACAAAACACAGCTGACTTTCGGACTGCACTATCAGGATTATCATAGCTCTGCAATAGACCAGACATAATGTCTTTTATTTGATCAGTTACAGGTGGACTGCCACAAGTATCAATAAGTTTAGTCATCATTCTAATAGCAACCAAATTGACTGGAAATTCTTTTGCTAATATCAACGGTGTAATTATTTTCACAACTGTTTTTTGATGTAAAGATACGCTTAAGACAAGTAAACATTCTTCAGCTACTTTAACAATAGGTTTATATGAATCACAACACATATCTATTACTTTCAATACAATCAATTCAGTGTAGTTGTGAAAATAGGTAACTAATTCTGATTTTTTAACTAAATATGTAATCAAAGATATTGTATGCTCTCGGACAATTGGTTCAATATCCATTAATAACTTTAAAACAACATTTATCATTTTTTTGAAATGATGTATGAGTTCACCAGAAGAACAATCATTCTTTATTAATTCTTTTAGATTGATCAAAATTAGTTGTTTATAATCAAGCTGCAGAGTATCTTTATCTAGATCGTCTAATATTTGTATAATTCCATCTACTGTAGTATGACCATTGTTGTAACCATTTAAATTTTGACTATTAGTTTCAGTAGGTATAGATAGATGATTTATTCTAGATTCACAAGAATCAGCATTTTTCTCCTCAGGGTAATAACATTTTAAACTACACTTTTGACCTTTATCAGAAGATTGTTTAAATGACTTATGTATTTTTTCCGAATTAAAAGTATCAATGGTGTCAGGTTGTAAAGGTGGCGAAGCAAGATTTGTTGGTACCTGACTGTTGTGATAATTTAGAGACATTAATTGATCAGCACTACTTCTTCTTGCTCTAATTTTCAAGAGTTTAGAAAATACTTCTTGATACTCTTCTGGTAACTGGGATAATCGCAATGTGATTTGAGATGCATTTAAACTATACAAAGCTAGTATAGCTTCCTGAGATGCACGTCTTAATTCATGGCCTTGTTTTATATTATTATTACACATAGTCCATCCAATCATTTTTATCAACGCTAAAGTAGCATAATCTTTTTTACCATTTACCACAGAAACAAAGATTGACCCCGAGTCTGCACTAACAGCTAATTGTGAAATGTAACTCATGGCAAATATTTTTATTTTAACATTAGGTGTCTGAGTAGGGTCTGTAAGAAATTTAAACACGGCAGTTAATTGAAAATCACAAGGAAAAGATAACCTTATAATTTCCAATGTTTTCAATATTTTCGAGTGTACAGAACCAAGTATATCAGAGCCTCCTTTAATGAATAACTTTACTAAAAGTGTATATAGCCAATATTCTAAATATTGACTATGGGTAACAATTAACTCATTAAGTACATCTAAAAAGAGACTTATAACTTTGGTTTGAGAATCCATAAACATTTTAGTGAACACCTCTGTTGTTTTTATTAGTAATAATTCACTCAAAATATTTCCTTGTTGAAAATATTTTAGTAAGCTAATCAAACCTTCCTTGCGATTATTCCAGCATGAACTTTCACATTTTGATATTATATCATCAATATTCAAATATTTTAAACTTGAGTTTTTCCAAATGTCTTTATGTAGGCCACATGCTGATCCATTTAAGTAAAAAGAATCTGAAAATCGCTTGTGAAAATCAATTCTGCGTTCAGAACCAACACTAGATGTCTCGCTTTCATCACTATAATCATTAAATAATCCTCCCAATGATTTTCTTGGAGACTTATAATAATTTTTGTTACTTAAAGCATCAGTAATAATAGACTTAGGTTCTTGACTCTGTGTTAATATTTTTTGTGTCCTTATTGGTCTAGGTGTAAACAAAGTAGATGGTTCTTTACTATTAATATGCAGTCCATTGCTATTAAGCCGATTAGGACTAACTTCTCTACTGGCATCACGAGATCTAGGTATACCAGAAGCTGCTCTATTAGATTTTGTTTGGACAAAATTTAATTTAGATGGTGATCCAGCACGACTAGCCGGTTGAGATAATGATACTCGAGCTCTTGATCTTCCCCCTTTGTCTGTTTGGTGTATATCTTCGTTAGTCTTCTTGGTAACAGATTGAACTGACACCGCAGGGTTGAATTTTTGTCTTGAAAGAGAAGCATATTCAGTACGAGCATTTGACCTCTTAGCAGCTTGCAAGTCTATGGCACTTCTTGATCTCATTGAAATATTACTATGCAAAGAGACAGGACGATGGGAAGACAACTTTGTACTTTCAGCTATTACAGATTTTGATAAACACAAGTTGGACCCAGAATTATTAAGCAATATTTTACGATATGCTGGTTCTAACTTATTTAATAATATTTCTCCATGCTCAGGAAAAAGTTCACAAAATTCCCAATAAGCTTTTCGAGACAGAACTCGGGCATTTGAATCAGCATCTGCAATACCCTTTTTAATGCAATCCTGTAGTATAATTAAGTGTCTTTCTATTGCTTGAGTTGGCCACGTACGAAGAATTTGTTCAAAAAATTCACAACATGCACGACGAATATCTTTTGACTTTGACCCCAGACTATTTGCAAGAATAGGTATAATACGAGGAGCATGTGTATATTGTAAAATAAATCTTATAGCAACTAATCCAGATGAAGCCGTTACTTTTGCTGAATTTTGTATAAGATCAATTAAATTACCAAAAATAGACTCTGAAAAGTGATTAAATTTAGTACCCAAACGTTGGGATAAAAATGCTATAGTGATACACGTTTCTCTAATAACTTGGGATCTCAAATCTTTGATAGATATTTGGAACGAATGTTCTAAATACCTCAAATTATTGTAAAACTCTTCATATTTTGTTGCTCCAATTAAAACTAGTGATCTTATCTTCTTTAATGATTCCACACGTTTATTCCATTGTTCATTACTATCTTGAATAGACTCGTGTATTTTTTTCATAGTGTCATCTAAATCTCGTATACTAAAAATTTGTAATGCAGGAACGTCTTCAAATGCCCGAATAAAAGTATCTTCATCAACTCCACCTGCATGTGAGGCAGATAATGCTGATGAAGATGTGGATTTTCGTACAAAATCAACCTGTTGTTGGGGTGTTGTAAGATTTGATTTTGGATGTAAAAATGAACTTGGTCTTTTAATACTACCAACAACATATTTTGGTTCAAATGTGCAAGTACGATCTGTTTCATCATCGTTAGTTAAGTTAAGCCCAACAAAAGCAGTTGGCAATAAACTTCCAGTAGCTTTAGCTTCATCAAATTTATTCATTAAGTCTGTCATTTTGCTTTGAGGAATTGAATATTTTTTTTGAATATCAACACGTAACTTTTCTCCCACATGTTTATACAAATCAACAAGTGTTTCAAATGCTTTTTGTCTCACTTGAACATTAGGATCACTTAAAAGTTTTATAATCATAGGTATAATTTTTGATATTGTAATACAATTTGCACCAAATTCTTCAATAGTTAACAACAACAATTTCATAGATCCTTCTTTAACATTACTATTTTTGTGACAAAAAGCATTAACTGATATTTTGTCGAATAACGTCTGGGGACTTATGGTATTACATTCCATTAATTTCATTATAAGAAAAAGTGTTTTAACTTTAATTGGTTCTTTACTATCACCAATTCGATCAACAGCTAGGGAGAGTATGGTAGAAATGTAAGGTCTAAAATCTATTCTCATTCTATTTATAAGTTGTGTTATTATTTCAATCCCATACAGAATAACTTTGGGATTGCTATTTAATAACCATTGAACAATACCATCAATAAACGTTCCAATATCTGAGCATTCAATAGAATTACTTGGTTCTTCTAAATAAGTAAATAATTTACAACCAACAGTTACCTTCATTCGAATATCAGAGGTAGATAATAAAGGAATAAAACCATCTAAATCATGTGGTAACCCAGCAGCCATTTTCTTAGATGATGAATACTTTGGAAGGAGGTTGTGTCAATATTGTATTATATGATTAATGACCTGCAAAAATTCAAAATTCATAATTAGTAAAATGTGCTTACTGAAAATAAATAAAATACCGATAGGTAAGTTGAAAATTTTAATATATTTAAAGAATAACTAAAAATATTTTGTGATGTAATTAAAATAAATTATAACTCTAGGTAACTACCACTCTTAAGTAAAAAATATTATTCAATAATATATGATTTTAATTTAGAACCAACAAAATATTCTATTATTACAAGTCTTCTAGTATTAGACATTTTTTTCCCAGTTTTAGTATCTAATTTGTTAAATTGAACTTTCTCCAAATAATTAATTTTAATTAATTTGGACTTTAATTTGGATTCAACAATATTATTTTTAATTTTATTATAATACAAAATATGGCCAAATATAAATTTTAACAATTATTGAATTATGTCATTATGATCATAGTACATAAATGTATAAATGAATAAGGTAGGTAACATAAAACATTGATAACCTAACCTAACTAAGTATATTTATAAATAATTTGTTAATTTGTGTATATATTAAATGATATAATGATTCATGACAGTAGTATATTTTGTCATCATCATGGATAAACGAATAAACTACCTTCATTTTATTTGTAGGCGCTCTGGAAAACCAATTAAGATATTGGTTTGACATATTGTTCTTGAATCATATGTGAATAATAATTGGTCTTCAATCTCGTGGTAAAAATATTAGATGAATGCACAGAATGTTAGACATTTTGGTTGATAATTTTCGTCCGATTGACACATGGATACTTATACCTATTACTATTGTTTGACGTTTGTACTTTGCTATTACCTACGAGAAGTACTAAAAGATGATAATCACTGTAAAAAAATTTAATCACTACGATTGTTGACTCTTGACCGACGGATAATAATATTACAATATTGACAATCGAAAGCCTTTTGCCGTTTTCTAATCTTTATTATCTACGACCAAAATAGATTTTCTGTGTTACCAGTGCGTTCCCATTTGACAATACATTATATCCGGCAAACTAAAAGTCCTGTCACAAATAACATCGATTGTTCTATTGTACCTACTACACGGGAGACTTAAAAATTATAAAATGTATACAAAATACTGTGTTATTAATGCCGTTCGGATAATGTTAATGACTTTTAGAAAAATGTTGACGACTTAATAGCGCGTATTGTATACCACATTACCACAATGTGCCAAACACGTCCGAGTGTCGGCGACGTCGAATTAACCGCTAACCACCACGCCCGTCAAACTTCCAAAATTAAACTGGTATCCGGTTAGTGGTCACGTGACATCTATTTCGAAAGGCCACCGGAACACCTAGAAAAACATCACGCAGCATTATTTGTTATTGTTTCACTGTTTCGAGTTAGTTTTATTTTGTTGTACTGACTACTGGTGTACTATAATTTATAATCGTATTATTTGTGTGAGACATCGCCTCCTTCAGAAATGTCGGAAAGCGATTCAGGGAGTGATTTGGAAGTAATAACTAATAAATGTTCAAAAAAAAAACGTTATAAAATACTCAATTCTCTACTACCTACTACCTGTGGTGTTTGTTTTTAGGAGAATCGACGATATCGTGATCGAAGTCGTAGTGCGAGTAGAAGCCGTTCGCCATGTGGATCTGAAGCTGAAGAAAATAACCAGTAATTACCAAAGCTTTGTGGAAAGCACAGTCAATATTAAATGCAAATGTTGATTAATGTTACAGGGAAGAAGAAGTTGCTGATGAACAAGATCCAGAAGACGGGAATATAAGTTCGGATGATGTAAGTTCTTAATCCTGATGTAATTATTTGGTGTGATTATTAGTGTTGTGTTCGTAAGCAGTATGATGAAGAAGATGACCGTCCGGTCAAGAAAAAAAAGAAAAATGAACGTTTTGGAGGCTTTATCATTGACGAAGCTGATGTAGATGATGAAATAGAAGAGGATGATGATTGGGAAGATGGAGCTGGTGAATATGGTATTGTTGCTAATGAGGTTGATGAATTAGGACCAACTGCAAGAGAGATTGAAGGACGCAGACGTGGAACTAACCTTTGGGAGTAAGACTTAGCTTATAACTTTGAATATCTTATGTTTAGAATAGGTTCATTCAAGGCGCATTGTGTACATTATAAATAAATAATCGTTATACATTTTTTAGTACTCAAAATGAAGATGAAATTGAAGAATACTTGCGTAATAGATATGCAGATGGTTCTGCTACAATAAAACAATTTGGAGATGCTGGAGATGAACTATCAGATGAAATTATGCAACAAACTCTTTTACCTGGTGTCAAGTAGGATTTATATTATACTATAAATATGAAAATGTACCTAAAATTACCTAAATGTAAACTTCTAATAAAAGGGACCCAAATTTATGGATGGTCAAATGTCGTATTGGTGATGAAAAAAATACTGCTATATTGTTAATGAGGAAATTTTTTGCATACCAGTTTACTGACGATCCATTGAAAATCAAATCTATAGTTTCTCCTGAAAGTGTTAAGGGCTATATATACATTGAATCGTACAAACAAACTCATGTGAAATCAGCTATTGAAAATATAAGCAGTCTTAAATATGGATTTTGGAAACAACAAATGGTCCCTATCAAAGAAATGGCTGATGTTTTAAAAGTTGTTAAAGTACAAACTGGCTTGAAATCTAAACAATGGGTTAGATTAAAAAAAGGTTAATTTTTTTCAACTACTATAATTTTATTTTAAATAACGTCTTGAAATTATCTATAACTGTATTTTTTCAGGGATGTACAAAGATGACATTGCTCAAATAGATTATGTGGACATGGCACAAAATCAAGTACATTTGAAACTATTACCAAGGATTGACTATACTAAACCACGTGGCGCTCTTAGGGTATCAATGATTATCAGTTTATAATTCTTGTAATTTTATTATTTAATATATAATTATTAGGATCCAGAAGCTTTGAAAAGAAAGAAAAAAAGGCGTCCTGCAGCTAAACCATTTGATCCTGAAGCCATCAGGGCTATTGGTGGTGAAGTAACCAGTGATGGTGACTTTTTAATATTTGAAGGAAATCGATACAGCCATAAAGGATTCTTATACAAAAACTTTTACATGAATGCTATAATGACTGAAGGAGTCAAGCCTACACTAATAGAACTTGAAAAATTTGAAGACGTTCCTGAAGGCATTGACATAGAATTAACTTTATCAAATAAAGATAATTTAGCAAACAGTCAGATCTTATGTTCTGGTGATAATGTAGAAGTATGTGCTGGAGAGTTAATGAATTTACAAGGAAAAGTATTATCTACTGATGGTGATACAGTTTTGATTATGCCAAAACATGAAAATCTTAATGTAAGTAACAGTTGTAAAATAATATTATACGTTTAGGTATTTTATATGCTTTCTAATTTTTCTATCATTTGTCTGTTATATTCCTGATAATAAAAAAGTAGAATATTTAAAAAAAAATTAATGGCACTAAATTGAGATGTAATATATATTATGTAGTCAAGACTTTATAAAAAATTTAATAATTTAATCTTAAATATCAACAAAATTACTCAATGTATAATACAACTTATCCTAGCCTTAATATTTTTACTGGTTGTTTTATAGAAAAAAGTACAGTTTTTTAAATTTAGTTTTAGGTAAAATTAATTTTTTTTTTATTGAACTTTAGCACGGCGACTAAGACCATTAGCTGTTGTAGGGGTTATGAACTGTGGTAGAAGTAAGGTAGGTGGTTTTTACGATTGTTAAGGTATGTGTGGCAAGGTTCTTAACTACTATGAAACAGGGTGGTTACCCATGCGGGAGCTAGTCGCTGTGGCCGTTACTTACTCCCAGTCGCATTCCGCGACTGGTAGCAGCCAATGCGCCACTCCAAGCCACTTAATTGATTTATTGAGTTGTATTTAATCATTATATTTCTATCCTGGAAATATATCAATTTTATTATCATAAGTCATAACATTACAACTCAGTAATTATTTGGTACTAATTAATTTTTTTATTATATTAGATAATTAATAGGATTTTGTTTATAATAAACAATATACGTTTACTAAAAAAAAGACTGGAGATACTGAAAAAATTGTTACTAAACATTTATATTAGTATATTAGGTTTCTTAATTTTTCAAAATATGCGGAATAGAAAGTCTCATTATTACTGTTTTCGGTTTTAAGATCAATCAAAAAGACTGCAATAATGTAAGCAGTAATAGATTTTTTTTAAATATTTATAATATTATGTTAAGACTGTATTGTGTGACTTTAGCCCCAGGCGTACACTAGAGATCGCACCTATACATGGTCGTGTCATAAAGAAAATATTTTGGGCTGGATATAGTTGGATTGTCATACTTGATTTTCGACCAGGTCAATCAAAAATTAAATGCATGTTGTACATTTTACTATTACATTTCTTCAAAAATTGTTCATAGTATTAGTACAATAGTGAAATGATTACTTTTAAGCTGTGCATATAAATTAACAATGCCAGTCAGATTGTAAAATAAAAAAAAATTATTAACCAAGCCTGGGTGGGTATAATTTTATAATTTAAATTTCTGGCCTAAAGAAATTGGGCTGTGCTGATACCAAAGTAGTAAAAAATACATTGCCATGACCTACTGCATAACCTGGCACACCCTTTTTGTGTATGAATTTTCATTTATAGTAATCAAACTAAAAAAGACACAATGTACAGCATGGTTAAATTTTTAAAGTTGTGTAAATCTAATTAGGTTATAATTTATTATTTTAGATGCCACTGGAATTTATGTCTAACGAATTGCGCAAGTATTTTAAACAAGGTGATCATGTAAAAGTAGTAGGAGGACGTTATGAGGGTGATACTGGACTCATTGTTCGAGTAGAACAAAATCGAATTGTATTATTTTCTGATGTCACTATGCACGAACTTGAAGTTTTACCTCGTGATTTACAATTGTGTACGGATACGGCTTCAGGAGTTGATTCACTTGGACAATTTCAATGGGGAGACCTTGTTCAAATAGAGTATGTATTGAAATATTTAAACTAAATTATCACAATACATATTTATATTTTATTTGGTAGCCCACAAAATGTTGGAGTGATAGTGAGAATTGAGCGTGAAAAAATGCAAATTTTAAATATGGCAGGAAAATTGGTTGAAGCTAAACCACAATCTTTAAATAAAAAAAAAGAGCATAGAAATACAATTGGAGTTGATGGTTTAGGAAGTTCAATACAAAGAAATGAAATTGTAAAAGTTATTGATGGACCACATACGGTAATTTTTTCTAAAATTGATTGTAGAATGTGTATTTTAAATCCGCAATTATAGTTACTTTTATTATTATAGTATTTGGCTAATATCTTTTTATAATCTAGGGACTGCACGGTGAAATCAAACATTTATATCGCCACTTTGCTTTTTTGTATTCTCGTTTAATGACAGATAATGGCGGAATTTTTGTTTGTCGTTTAAGACACATTGCCCTTGCGGGAAATTCAAAGAATAGAGTAATATAGCGTATATCAGCTGTATGTACTTGTGAATTAATTTGATTATTGTTGGTTTTTAACAATTTAGCAAACAAGGATTGCAACACAAGATGGATTTTCATCTCCACAATCTATGTCTCCATGGCGTAGTACTTTTGGTCAGTCAGGTGGACTTACTAAAGTAAGTGGAGGAAAAGAAAGTTTTGTAGTATCTGGCGGTAGATTTGGTGGTGTTCAAAGAGATTCAGGGTTAATTGGTCAGACAATTAGAATTACTGTTGGCCCTTACAAAGGCGATGTTGGCATTGTTAAAGATGCAACAGAGTGTACAGCCAGAATTGAACTTCATTCATCTTGTCAAACAATATCGGTGGATCGAAGAAACATAACAATTGTCGCACAAAAATCTAAGGATGGAAGATTAACATCATCGTACTCAAGAACACCTGTTAGCGCTTTAACAACTCCTAGATATCGTGAAGGAGGTTTGCTTTCGGTGCATGGTTCAATAACACCAAACTATGAAGTTGGTAACCGTACACCAAACTTTGGAAGTACTACTCCATCACATGATGGATCTAAAACACCTACCCATGCTTGGGACCCAGCTTCTGGGTACACTTCTACCAGAATAACTGATGAAGATTTAGAATATCCATTGGGTTCTGATACTTCTTATGGACAGTCTCCAAGTACATTGTATGGTTCTTCAGTTCATTCTTACTCACCATATCAAGAAATAACACCATCTGGTTGTAACAGTATGTCATAATCAAATGATTATTATCTTATGCAAATGTAGAATATTTTTTTCATATTATTACAGGTATTAGTTCTTACATAAATACTCCAAGTCCAATTGATACAGATAGCCCTCGCAGTTTACAGTTCTATCCAACATCATCACCACTAGAAGGTGGTCATCTTAAAGACAAAATCTCAAAATCATAACTCATTTATTATACTGATCATATTTAAAAAATAAAAGTTAAAAAAATATTATATTATCTAAGTTTTTCAATCTATATATTTGAATAAATCCACATCCTCAATAAATTAGTTTGGTCAGTATCATAGCAATATATTTATACATATAAAAACATTTTTATATTAACACGGCTGAATAGAATTTAACAATGTTTGAAACAGTTATGGCGCAACTTATGAACACGAGATACAGTATTTTTTTTTTTTTTTATAAGCATAAGGCATAACAAGCATATTAAAATAAAATAATGTTTTATTTTTTAAAAACTTAAATTGTATAGTAATATTTTCAAAAAGTAGTTACATCTATATCTTATAAGTGTAAAACCTTGATTATATATATTTTTGAAAAAATGCTACATATAATGTAAGTGTAGATATACTCGTACATACTCAAGTAAATTAAAATTTGGTTTCAATATTAATAATAAATTACTGGACTCCTAGCTGATGAAGTAAAATTGGAACATAATCATCATATTGTGCTAGATAGAAATTACCAGCAACAGGTGTTCCTAATTTGTACTTCTTTGCAAAGTTATGAATTGAAAACTTAACACGGGTTTCGGCAGTTCTGAAAATAATTAATAAACATGTTTGATATAAAAGTATGTAACTGTAAATAATAGTTTATTGCAGTTGCCCAGTTAGTGATGGCTAACGGTAAATGTGGTATGGTATACATATTATTTTACCTATTATTTATATGCTGCTCAGTAAATACCAATCTTGAAGGTTGCTTGTAAACTAAGAACACGTAACGATGAAGTCCTAAAAAAAAAGATGTAATTTGTAGGTTAATCTTTAAATTTTAATAAATATATCTATTGTATAAAATATATACCTGTTTTTGGCGGAGTTGCGGAACCGACATATTCAGTTAGTGTCTCTCCCCTACTCACTTCTGTACCCGGTATGTTTCCTACCAACCAATGGTGAAATTCTTTTAATTTAGGTCCTGCATCAGGATCTGAGTAGATAGCAATAAAAAATTAATCAACACTTTTATGTATAGCTATTAATTTGGCAATATACTCACCAGTTAAACATAATGTATAGAATGAATATGGTTCTGCATTCCATTTAACTGATGGCTGTTCTTTCACCTGAGTGGGTGTTAGTTCATTACCAAGTTCTGCTTTTAAGGCACTTGGATAATATACCTATAATATTTTTAAATTATCAGGTTTTAGGGTTTAGATTATTTGAAAATGTAAATGTTTTATACATATTTATTATTTACTTGTAACATTTCCTTTGGAGCAATGGGAATGAGGTCTGGTACAATTAATTTATTTTCCATAGCTTGTTTAACATTGTACTTGCATGCAGATACACTTAGCATAACCTGTAGAAGCATGGATTAAAATTTTTTTTTTAAACAATAACAGAATTTTATTCGGTTTCAAATATTTTAATAGGCATTAAAAAACCTAAAAAAGAAAAATGTAGGAACTCAGATGGATACTCTTACCAAACATAATGTAAAACACCTCATCATATTTATTTTCAAGATTATCATTTATAATTGAATAGTAGAAACATAAGAACTTCCTTGCAGGAAAACCACAAAACTATTTTATGAAGTCAAAGCGTTCTCATTTGGATTATTAAATAGTCAGAGAGGAATGAGAATAATCAAATGGAATGTAGATTTACCTGCAAGTCTATCTGTTTTGAATTTTGATTTCCCCTCAGCCCTCTTGAGTAGCTTCGCTCAAATATATTATCTTCACTGTTGCCTATTACAGTAGCCAGAAGGTAGGTACCTAGGTATTACCTGCTTAATATTATTATATGTATAACTTCGCTATCAGTGGTGTACACTGTAAAATTAACATATAAAGGTACCTATTAATTTGACTATAATTGCTTAAACAAGTACCTACATATCTAGTAAAAAATACTATAAAATAGGTTATTATAAGTACACTAGGTATAGACATACAGCTTTAAACATTGTACTTGTAACTTATAACGTTATGAACTTATAAAACTGTCTGCAACAGAAGATGTCAGACTTACCTCTTATGGGTACAGTAATACACATCTACACTGAATGGCTGAATAGGTACCTGATATGTAGGTAGGTAGGTAGGTATTAGGTACTATAGACCTGGGAGGCAGCAATGGTAATCCATATTTCCCTCCCTTGTCATGATGCAAAGGGTTAAATTAGGATTTTTTTTCATAACTCATACAATTATTTGTATAAGTAATAACTCATTCGTTTTATTATTACCTACGAATATGCAATAAATTAAATATAATGATATACCTACGATACCTACGATATCTATGTCAGGATTTTCTAAATGTTTAAATGAATCACTAAACAAGTATTTAGGCATAAATCTTTATTGCATTATTAAAAGATGAATAGTCAACATAACAACTTAAAGCTTAGGGCTCCTAGCCCGACTTAACGGTTACACACTAGATGCGGCACACGCTCCGCAACACACACTGTCCCTACTCTCACAATTACCTCTCTTACTGTCACCCAGCAGTATTGCCAACAACTATAAGATAAAGTACCTAGGATATAGGTATTAGGTATATAAAATATTTATATGTAGGGGGTTGTCACCGGTTTCCGCCAGTCAAAAATTATAGAATTTAATAGATTCTTAGTGAAGCGATGATTTTCCAATGATGTGTGTTTTTTTATATACCTACCTCTATTTTTTTTTTTTTTTGTGTCTGTCATCACGTTTTGGGGCAGTGAAAGTGTTTCGATTTTCTTCAACAGCAATTTTTTTGGTAAGAAAGTAAATATAGTTGGAGCATTGGGGAGGTCAAAATTTAAAATTCCCAATAGTTTTTCAAAAGCGACAGGAAAAACAGTGATTTTTACGAAAAACAAGTTTTTGGAAAAATCGATTTTGGTTTTTAGTATAACTCTAAAAAAAATGATCGCAGATACATGAAATTTTCACTCAATGTTTGTCTTGACATTTTCTATAGTTTTATACAGCATAACAATTTTCAAGAAAATTTGACTCACATTGAACTATATATAGGCAATTTTCGGTTATTATTTGTTTTTTTTAAACTAATGTCGATAAAATATTTTTCTCTCTGTCAAAAAACTAGTAAATGTAATACAAGGTTCCTTGTAAGTTTTTGTTCTTGGAAATTAAAGAAATAGTTGAGCGTAAATCCACAATTTTTTATGAATGTTTGAACTTAGAATATTGACAAAATTCGTAAAAATCACAAAAATTAGTAAATCATTTTGAGTCAGAAATTCAAAAAAAATTTTCTTTTTATATCTAAGATTTAAATCTTTTATACGAGTTCCCTTACGAGTTTGTCTACATTCATAAAAAAAAAATGTCTACCGGAAATCAAATTAAATTTGTATGAGCGTTTGAAGTTGCAATTTTTACAACATTTCTCATGTACCGATTTTCTTATTATCTTATAATTCAAAAACGAATTACTGTATTTAGATACTTAACTCGTTATAGGCTGTTGACGGGCATTTTAAATTTTCATTTTTTTTCTACAAATGACAATAAAATTTTATTGGTAGAATCAAAAAGCATGAAAATTCTATACAAGGCGTCAAGGCTCTTGATATATTATTACAATAGCAGTTGAAAAATATTAAAAATACATAGGCACGATTTTTTTACAAGCATTCAAGTTTTGACAATATTTATCAAACTGAAAATTGAAAATGATTTTGAAGTTAATAATTTATAAAATTTTCAATTTTCATAACTAAGGATTGAAAATTTAAAACAAGGTTCCACTTAAGCAGTTTTTTTCCGTAACTAGAAAATCTAAAAATCTATAAATACAGTTATTTTTTACAGACATTTTAAGTTTAAATTTGGAAAAAATAACATATTAACACAAAAATAACTTATGTCATTTTGTCGTAATTCGCTTCCAAAACAGCCCAATTTTACATTAGTATATTATTTAATATTTTTCCAGCATCGCTGATAGTTTAAGAATAATATATTATGAAAAATATTAATTCAACTCGCCGGCTACTATATTAATAATAAGTCATAACAATATAAAGTATCCTAGACTGATATACCTACCGTCTCCGCTCAGAATCGTCTTTCGTATACAATATTATGATTTAATATCATTGAATTTAAATTTAATACCATCATGCATTACAGCGACCTTCTAGACACCTAATGTACAGCAGAGCGACTTACCCGCTTTTGAGAAGCTTTAAGCAACGATTTAATAATGATATATATTTTGTTAAGTAACTATAGCTATTAAAACTCTACATGGTATGACAATATATTTTAAAAACAATGTAAATATACCCTGTGTCTCTGTTCATTAAATATTTAATAACTTTTAACATACCACTAATATAAAACATTTGAATTATTCGATTTTGTATAAATAATTCTGTAATTTTTGACCAGCGGAAAAAGGAATGACGGTTTTTCTAATTTGTGGAAAAAGGTATTAGCGGTAAAAAATATAGGTACTCGCGGTGTAGTATAGATACAGGTATATACATTATGCAGTGTCCTGAGAGGATTTACCCATTGCGATATCTCCTGAGATAATAAATATTATTATTATTATTATTAGACTCGCAGAGATAAGAACTACATATTTTTATTTTTTTAATTAATTAATTTTTTTGGCAAAAAAGTTAAAAAAAAATTTTTTTCATTTTTTTTTTTTTTGAAACAATTGAAAATATCTATTTTGTAGAGTTTATTTTTATGAAAATAAATACTGACCTCTCAACATTTATTTTCATTAATTTTATAATTTTTAATCATTTTTTTTAGCTCAGAAGTAAAACGACAAAAAACCTGTTTTTGTACGGACGGCAAGTCCCACTCTGCCGCTAATTAGTATATCCTCACGGGACACTTTGTTCACCATGTTCATCATTCTTCGCATAAATTTATTTTCAATTGTGTAAATAGCATGATTATTATATATAAGCTGATAAAAGTAGTTAAATTAGGTACCTACTATTAGGTTTAATATATGCACGTGGCACATTTAACATTACATAGGCTGCAGGATAACCTACACAATATACGTATATATAAATATATATATTTATGCACAAACGGCGATGTGCTAATTTTGTATAATATGTAAATCACGAATAGTTTCCAAAATCAATTAGGACTATCCTAAAGAATAAGGTGTTAGGTGTAAGCACATTGATAAAAATAAAATACGTTTTAGTGAACGAAAGCGTACCGACAAGGCCATTAACGGCATTAAAGTTATGAGTAAATTTCAAAATAATAAAGACTATAGCGAGTCAACTGTGCGGGAGCATTTATCACCAGCACTTAATTATATAACTATAATAGGGCGCCGTTCTCAATATATTATGTATTTAAATACTTATAATTATATGACAACAGGACGACCCTTATAAGGGCCCCGTAGACCCACCACATGTCTCCCTGAGTCGGATCTCGGAAAAAGAGACAAAGAAAAAAAGTACAATTTATGAAAATTTAAAAAAATACATTGGTACATTTGTAATTACTAATTAGTGTGTAAAGTGATCACTTACTACGCACATGTTTGCACAGCCCAAATGTACATAGAAACATTAGAAACATATTATTATTATAGTACTCCTTAAAAACGGTCGGTATATCCAGTCCCCTTAAGAAAAACGTGTACTTAATTTAATATTTAAAAATATTGAAGTATACAAAATTTATTTATTTTAAAATATCTTGCTGTATAATTCCAAACAATTATGTGAAAAATTAAAAAAATTATACCTTTCATTATTCATATTTGTATATAGGTAGTATATTTAAATATTTTTAATACAATATAATTTTTGGTATATAATAGACTAATAGAGAGTAAAATACATTTTTATAGGGTACTGGAAATTGCTCACGCATAGATATCATAATGACCTTATATATGACATTTTCATATTGTCAAATGATTCATAAAATATTTTATATTGCATGTAACAAAGCATTTAAGTGAATTTTTTTGTTGATAGTAATTTGTAATAATTTTTTTGATTAATATATTTAAAAAATTTAAATATGTGGGTAATAACTATTAATAACTAATAAGTGATCACTTTACACACTAATTACAAATGTATGTATATTGTATATTTTAATTTTCATAATCAACAGTATTATATTTTACATTAAAAAAAAATTTTTTTTTTCCTTGGTCTTTTCTTACCTATTAGCGACTCAGGCTCTATTAGTTATGTCTGAAAAGTGGATTATGTATATTAATCGGGCACTTGTATCTAATCACTGTGGTGTCAACATGATTAGCTACATCGTGCATTCATGCGATGTACGATATTATCTTATACTAGCTGCCTGATCTTACTCCGGAAGAAATTATTTTTTTATAATTTAATTTAAAAACATAAGACTATTTTTTGACTATATACAAATAATACAACGATTATAAAATAAAAATAAAAGAAAAAAAGAAACAGACATCGTTATCGATGAATATATGAAAATAATTGGTAATTAGTTAATTATTATTATTATTTATAATGAGGGTTCAAAACCGGTTTCCTTCGTCTCCAAAATCAAGTTAGATTCTTATATAATAAATATAGTGTCTCGCTTGTAATCCATAGCTACATATTGATTGGAAAATCCATAAGTCTATTATATTTTTATAAAAATATTAGCTTATCCCCTGCACTTTGTTGACCTTTAAAAATGCCATCTCTATTTAAGAGACTTGATGGTGATAATGCGAGCAGTATATAATCAGGTGCATACTATATTAGTTTACTACCACTATCTATATGATTATTTGAATAATACGTTTTATTTTTATTTTAATCGTGGACAGTCCGATGAGCAGTTATAAGTGCAATTCAGCCTCCTTGGTAGGCAATATGATGCATGCTTAAACCTGTTCTGCCCGATTAACCGAAAAAAAAAAAAAAATACTAATTTCCACTAAAAAATTAAGAAAATGAGTTATTAATTAGAATAAACGTTATACATAACGTATGTATATATTAATATATTATATAATATATATACATATTGTACAGGTTTATACGCATATTTTTTGGCACGGCAGCCCGCGGGTTTCCAGGAACCTACAACCTGACCTTTTCATCCGTCAAATGATGTGTTTTACTTGATAGTTGATAGTGTATATCTTTGACTGGTAGTATTGCGAGTTTCGCGACTTAAGTTTGTATGTCTAATTGCGGATATTTTTAAAAACAAAAATATTCCATCAAAACTTACTGGAACGCCAAATATTATTGCAATACACTCTTTTTGTATGTGAATTGCATGTATTTTATCGTTTAAAAGTTATATTGATACTAATATTCGATAACCATATTGCTGTTGTACGCTCGGTGATTATTGTTATTGTTATGCAATTTGTATGTTAAATATTAAAAAATATTTTATGTGAGCCACTCTTAACATCATATAGGGGTATGAAAAATAGTGTACATCACTCTCTGAGACCTAACCTAACATGCACTCAAAATGTCATAAAAATCGGTCCAGCCGTTCCGGAGGAGTTAAGGTAACAAACATTTTCCATTGTGAAACGAGATTTTCATATTGTATAAGATACATACAAGTAAAAACCAAGAAAAGCTAGTTTTCATATTATAATATTATGTTTATGATAAATATTTAAAATGATTTACAACTTACAGTTTACACCTTAATAATACTGCGGACCATTTTTCTATTAAAATTGTTAGCCTGACTTTCCATTGGCCATATTAAACCAAACAATCTGTTATTTTATGTACTATATTGTCTTCTTCTTTCCAGCTTTCACAGTCTATTTCGGACCTTCCTTAACCTAACCACTGCTCTCCACCTATCACTGTCTTCAATTCTTGCTTCTACTGAGATTTCCGTGAGATCCGTCTTCACTCTGTCCGTCCATCTTTGATTCGGTCGCCCCCTGGGCCTTTTTCCGCTCAGTCTTCCAGTAAACAATTTTTTTCCCATACCTTCCGACCTCCAGACATAACTCGCCCATTCTAACCTGTTGCTTTTTATATACGTAATAATAATGGGTTAATTAAAAATTTGGTACATTTCTTGGTTAGTTCTCTTTCTATATTCTCTACTCTCCATTACAGGACCATAAATTCAGCGTAGTATTTTTCTTTCAAAAATATTCATTTTCTCCTCATCTCCCTTAGTCACCGCCCAGGTTTCACAACCATACGTCAAACCGGTCGTAGAAAGCTGGAGTATAGGTTCTCTTTTGACCTTCTGGATAGTAGTTTTGATTTTAACAATTTTGAAAGTGCATAATATCCCTTGTTCCCTGACACAATTCTCAATTTTATCTCATTGTACATATTGTTTTAAATGTTTAAGTTAGTTCCTAAGTAACTAACATCTGTTACTTGTTGGAAGACCAATCCATCCACTTGCAAGTCATCTTGAATTATCGCCTTTTTTGATACTATTAGATATTTGGTCTTTTCTTGATTAAAATTCAATCCAATCGGTTCTGTTGCTTTTATTAGGTCTGTGGTCCTCATATCCACTTCGATTCGGGAGCTACCAATTATAAAAATATCATCTGTGTATGCTAAGATAGTGTTCTGTTCCAGAATTTCCATACTTTGTCTAACGGGGAGAGATATAATAATTTTTTTAACGTCAAGATTGAAAAATACAGGGGAAAGCGCATTTCCCTGTCTTAGGCCAGCTCTAACGTCGAAACTTTTTGAAAGTTTATTCGCTACTTTTACTTTAGAGTATGTTTCGTCACTGCACTCTTTTATCAGCTGGATTCATTTAGTTGGTATACCAAATTCTTTCTGTGCTGCCCATAATTTATCTCTTATAATACTGTCGTAGACCTGTTTAAAGTCCACACAACAAAGATGCACTTCTCTACCATACTAATAGCGCTTTTTCAACAATTGTCTGATGATAAAAATAGGGTATGTGGTAGATTTCCTTCTCATAAAGCTGCTTTGGTAGTCTCCAATTATACTGTTAGCATCGACTTTCAGCCTTCGCAGGATTGCCATCGATAAAACTTTATAACAGGTGTCTTAAAGTGAAATTCCTCTATAGTTAGCTGTTTCCATAGGGTCATCTTTTTTATAAATCGGGCATATGATTGCTATTTGTTAATCGCTCGGAACTTTTCCACTTTTCTATACTTCTTGGATCAAAAGCCATATCTGTGATATTAATTTTGAGGTAGATGTTTTAATTAATTCAGCATTGATATTGCCCTCCCTCGGTGACTTGTTTTTTAAAGATTTAATTATCCGTGTTATTTCTTCTTAATTTGGTTCTGGTAATTCTGGCTGCACAGAGAGAATATATTATATATTATTATAATATGGATTATGTATATAGGTACTAAGTTATTTTTTTTTTTTACGAATTTGAAAATTGTTTAATACCTTTATCGATTGTTTTAACAACCATCGAAAAATATCTCTAAGAAATATAATAAATGCAAATTGAACAACAATTACCACATGCAATATATTAAACTTATCTAATCGATAAGAATTTTTTGTCGTAATATTTTTAGTATAAATGCTAGGTAACTCGGTAGGTATGGTAATATAAAGAGAACTCGCGAGCGGAGTAAACTTCTGTTTTATAGGTAATATCACCCATACTGAAATTTTCAAAACTTAATTTAAATCTTACTTATTTCAATAAAAATGGACGTACTTTATTAGTAATCCCGCTTATAAATTCTTAGATCCGGAGCCCTGGGTAGTGTGTAGCCGTTTACGTTCTTTCAGAATTATTTGACACGTGGAATGTTGTAAAAAAAAAAAGGTCCGTATACTTAAATCTAAAAGAGTAAAAGAATAAAAAAATAAAATAAAAGGAAGATAGGTATTAACTGCGAAAATAGGTAATTATTAATACCAACTTACATCAAGTTGGTTGAATTTGATTTTGTTTCCTTGGTTGTAAATAGAATTATAAATTTAATATAAAATACCACAAGTGATACCTATCTTTCGGACTGGGAAATATAAATGTAAGCAAACTAAAAAACCCTTTTATATTTTTAGCGGAGCGATTGATTTGATTTTATTGATTTTACAATGAAGTGTGGTTTTTATTTTTTTTGTGTCTGCGTACACGATAAGTAGTTGAAAAAATGTTGCAATCTTCAACTTCAGAATCTTTTCAGATGGGAAAATGAATCTAGTCGATGCATGGGGGGGTCAACATTTTAAATATCCAGCAGTTTTCGAGAGCGCCGGGAAAAACAAAATTAAAAAAAAACGGAAATTTTACTCAAAATCGTTTTTCGACAAATAAATTGAGTTTGGTTTTTGGTATCTAAATAAATGCCGTAGTTACATGACATTTTCACTGAATGTTTATATTAGCATTCTCTATACGACACAATTTTCAAAATATTTTGACTTGTTTACGGACATATTCAGTTATCAATTTTTTTTATATAAATGTCAATAAATTGAATTCTCTTGGTCAAAACCCTTGAAAATATATAATACAAGATTCATCGTATAAGTTGTTGTTAGTAGAAATTAAAATAAAATTGAGTGTAGGTCCAAAACAATTTTTAAAGAGAGTCCGAGTTCATATTTTGACAAAATTCGAAAAAATCACTAAAATTAGCAAATTCTATTCAGTTAGAAATTCATATAATTTTTTCTTTTTATATCTAAAATTTAAAAATTGTATGCAAGATTCCTCATAAGTTTTCTCGTGTAGCGATTTTCTTATTTTGTTGTAATTCAAAAACAAATAACTGTAAATATTTTTAATGTACACCATATATTTATTTTATCAATATTCAATTCCTATACTTGATAACATTTTCAAAATATTTTGTCTCGTTTTAAGTCGTTAGCAGACATTTTCAATTTCTTAGTTTTTTTTTTCTATAAATGTCAATGTTTTATTTGTTGGGTCAAAGTGTGAACATTTTATACAAAATTAGGGGGTACAATATTTTTTATAAGCATTCAGTTAGAATTTTAAAAAAAATTGTAGGTTCCATGTAAATAGTTAATTCTGTAACCAAAAAAATCCAAAAATATATGTAAACATAGTTTTTTATAGTTATTTTTAGTTCAATTTTGAATGAAATTACATATTAACACATTTACACAAGTAAAATACAAAAATATTAATGATTTTAGTCATTTTGTTGTATTTTAAAAATATTATTCTTGAGTAAATGAAGATTTTAGAGTATACTATTACATTTTATACACACACCGTAAAACTTTCAAATATATTTTTTTTTAGCAAATTAAGTTAAACTATTATTCTCAATACTTAAATAAATTACTTTAATCACAAAATATCATCTAATATGTACTATTAATTAAGATCATAGGCTGACAGACCGCCGTCTTCGCTCATAATCGAATTTCGTATACAATAATTTTATATCATTGAATTTAAATTTAATACCGTCTATTTCACTGACCCACTTGTAACCTACTGTACAACAGAGAGCCTTACATTTACCCTTTTTTTATATGTCCTCCATCTCCTAAGTACCAATTAAGATTCACTTATTCTTACCAGAAAAGATTATGCTGTTAAGGAAAATCAAAGCGTTTTTACTCTCCCAAAACGTGATGACAGGCACAAAAAACACACATCCTTGTAAACGTAAAATACTGAAATGTATACATTTTTAGTTCAACACAGAATCTAAAATGAAAATTACAGATAGAGTTACACCGAAAAATAAAATCGATTTTTTTGAAAACTGGATTTGTAATATTTGTATATAAATATAATTTTTTATGAATCCCAGTATATTTAGTGACTTCAAAAACTGACTGAAATAAAAAATAGTTTTACCATCACCAGTATTGAATATATGATATAACAGGTTTGCTACTTAAGTGTTCCGAATCTCTGATACTTCCCTAGAAATGGGTTATTTGTGGCATTTGAGTATCTCGGGACACAATCGTTTGGGATATTTTTTTAATTTATACATAATTTAATTTAATTTAATTTAATTATTTAATTTATGTATAATTTCGTTTGTCATCACGATACGATAATATTTGATAAGGATAATATTATTCAACACAAATACACAATAATTCATACATGTCAAGTCTCAAGGAACAATGTATTAAATTTTCTAATATTTTAACACAGAAAATATTTTTATCGACATAAGTAAAAAAATTTAAACGTCTAAAAATAATTCAGCATAAGATTTTTGATCAAACCAAAAATTTTTTTTTCAACATTATTTAAAAAAAAAAAAAATAATAAAAATAGAAAATCACTATTATGTTTATAACAGCTCAAAAAGAGTTGAAATATTTTGAAAATTGTATTGCGTATAAAAATGCGAATATGCGGTTATTTTTTTTTTTTAGAGTTAAACCAAAAATCAAAATCGATTTTGTCAAAAACTAGTTTTGATTAAAAAACTCCATTTCCCTCAATTTTCTGTGATTTTTCCCGACGCCTTTGTAAACTATTGGACATTAGGTTCCACGAGGCCACAAGGCCCCCATGATAAATTCCGAACTTTTGCGTTCTAGAATCTGCTAATCCAGATATTGTCAATGTCAAACTTGGTTTTAGAGTGTGAAAGCACAGATAACGGTATTACCTTTAAGTTTGATAATATAGGTCAACAGACTATATTATTAAAAACTAGACAAAATTGGGACTGCTGAAAACAGATTGGCTATATTGTAAGTTTAGTCCGGCGGAGAAAACATAATATTATGACGGTCGTGGTGTCCCCTTGGACATCATATTAGTTTGTGGTTAACTGGTTAGGAAACATCAAAATATACAAATTTTTATAATATCATCCGACTTTGTATGCGTCACTGCAGTTACGGTATTATCACAATTAACAGAACAGATTAATCTATTCTGCGGTATTACGGCCATAGACGTAAACAGTGTATTATTATGACTCAATTAATAGCCATGGTCCAAACCGTTCGAGAGAGCTGCTGGCCCAGCATTCCCACGTATTCGTATCAACTATCAATACATTGCCCCCGATACCCTTATCAATAAAAAATATGAAACAACAACAAAACGCCATTTTTCAATTATTATTATCCTGCGAGTAAACAATAACTAAAACGGACAAAAAAATGCCGACGCTATCGATTTCGTAATTTGCGGCGCGCTCGCCCTGCCCAAAAAGTCGCGGCCGTATCAAGGACCGTCGCAATCGGTACAATAATATCATTATGTAGATAGTGCGACGGATACGCGGTCACATCGATAACGCGAACACGGGGCGTCGAGCGGAATCGTCGTCGTCGTCGCCGCCGCCGCTGGTGTTTCGCATCGACCTCGGCGTCCGGTTTTGCACGCTCTGCGATCGGACCGGAAGCTTCGTGGTACGTGCTCTACGAACCGGATACGAAAAAAACCAACGACCAAACGGACGTGTACAGGCAGTTTAACGATAAATTGTGCGCGACCGTCGTCTTGCGCTGTCCCAGATCGAGAATATACATATTTACTATAATATTAATATGTCCGTGATCGACGGCGGCGGCGGTTACGCGGACGACCAACAACAACACCAACACCAACTCCAGCAGCAACAGCAGCAGCAGCAGCATCGACAACAACTACAACAACATCAGCATCAACAGCAGCAGCAGCAGCAGCAACAACAACAGCAGCAGCAGCAACAGCACCGCAGGCACCAACACCACCACCACCAACAACAACAACAACAACAACGACTGCAAGCGGCGACGGTGGTTACGACGGTGGACGAACGTGGCGGCGGTGGTGGCCGGCAGCGTCATTCGGAAAATGTCGCCGAACAGACGGACATGGCCGAGACCGGTACGAGGGCCACCGACGTCGTAGTCGTCACCGCCGCCGACGCGGTGAAAGAAAACCGCAACGGACCGCCGCCGTCGTCGTCGTCGTCGCCGTCGGACGTCTCCGTGTCGGCCGCTACGTACGCCACGGCCGCAGCCGAACACGTCGCGTCGTCTCAAGTACAAGTGTCCTCCATACCCGTCGGGCAGCTCATTAACGTGTCCGGCGCCGGCACGTTCAACGTCATCACCGCCGACTCGCTGCAGGTAATTCAACGACAGCGTTGACGGGGGCGGACTCTCTGACGACTTTTTGGATTTCGTATCATTTGTCGTCGTGATTTATTTTTTCCGTTTTTTCCCCGTTGAGTAATGATTTATACGTAAAACTGCTTATTTCAAGGGCGCCCACCGGGGGAGGGGGTGGCTATGGGGTCATTGAATGATGTATAATAATAGGCACGTTAATATTTGACCATTGGATTTTGTCTTGCCGCGAGTGGAATTTTGTCGCTCGGACGCCCTTTGGTTTGGCTACCCATCCCGATTTTGAGTATTATGACATTCAGTGGTGGCGCATACTCGCGAGACAACAAACAATTAAGCCAATGGTCACGTCGTCGGGGCTTTCTTCTCTAATTAAAAAATAATAAAAAACAAACAATTATTTGATCCTCCCACCATTTGTGAATATAAAAGAGACCCCTCTTTCATTTAATGGGCATATTACATTTTTGTTATTAAATACATCAAAGTATATGTACCTGAATCTTTTTGCTAAAACTTTTAAGCCAATAAAATCTACAACCTATATACTCTCTCTCTAACCCACGGTCCACACACACACCTGTTATAAAAAAACTATGAGTCTTAGGAATCACTAGAAATTACCATTGCTCCGTCACCGATGAAAATGTTTCACTTGGACCAAAATCTATCACTAAACAATTTTTTAGGTATTTATCATTGCACTGGTTTTCGATGGCACCAAGAAATTCAACATTCATGATTTTTGAGAATATTTCTAGTATTATGTACTGTTGTGTACTAGTGTTACAAACAATATCATCGAGACGCAGTATAGGTTTTAAATACCGTTCCCATCGACCAATTAATAAAATAAACATATTATCTACTTTTTATAAAAATAATAAATCATCATAAAATTACTTCTTGTATCATCAAAATATTATTATTGATCATCTTATTAGGGGTGTATTAACTTTAAAATTAAGGCAACATCAGTGCTAGATAGGCCAAATATCGGTTTATCGAGTCTTAGAAATTTACTAGCTTAAAACACTCTAAATTGAGTTAGAACAAGTAGATTGAATACAAGATATACCTAAATATAGCCCGCAAGTAAACTTTGTAACTCTGGTTCTAACTGGCCTGAGTACCAGTATCAATTTAGGCAATTTGTCATAATAATATTCATGTACATGTTATAAAAATGTTAAATATTTTTTTATATTCTCACTCTCAGAGTGATAGTTGCAGTAATATTCTATTAACCATGGCTTAATACTTGTATTTTTGATTTCAGCTTTCAGAATCAAACGATTTCAAACCTCTCTTGTGTGTGGATAACAGTTGTTTAAATTGTGATACGCGCACTCAAGTTGATGGTGATACCTGGAGAACTGTAGTTCGAGCCGAAGTAATTAAAAATACTTTGGTATTTGCAACTTAACCTTTATAATACAATGTTATCTATTTAGGATGGCACTTTCAAAACTGCGCATATTGTACTTAGACCAGATAACTCGACCACCAATAATGTTCACGAAGAAGAGACTGATCAAGGTGTATCATCTCCAAATACAGCACCTTGTTATTCATATACCGAGGCTGCCAGGTTGCCAGTATTACCAGTCCGATGCAAAGTAAGGATATCTTTTAATATACCCACATAATACTGGAGTTATTGTCATAATTACAATAATCATGTTCGTAGACCACCAACGCAGAACTGCATAAAAAAAAATTTGGTTCTGGCTGTCGAGGCAAGTGTATTAAATTTGGAAACCAATGGTACACACCTAGTGAGTTTGAAGCCCTCTGTGGGAGGGCTTCTAGCAAGGATTGGAAAAGAAGTATACGATTTGGTGGCCGTAGTTTGCAAACATTAATATACGATGGAGTTTTATTACCACATGCTATGAGTTGTACATGTGCGGCCTGTTGTGATGACGAATCTGCTGTAAGTACAATCTTAAGTCATTGATATTTTTTTGTGAGATGTTTATGGTGCTCTTATTTATGGTTTTAGACTGGCCCTGTACGACTGTTTACACCATACAAACGAATACGTACCAAAAAACATTCGTCTAGTCATTCGAAAAAGAAAAAAATAGAAGATGGTACAGCTATTAGTAACGATGAAGATAGTTGTGATAGCAGTGTAGGTATATCATTGGACAATGGTGATATAGACATAAAAGATGAAGAACCCATTCTTATCCAGACTGGTGATATTTCTCAAGCTGAAATTGTTCAATCAAATGATTCAATAGAAGATATGTTTAAAAAGTTAGAAAATGTAAGTTTTTTTAAAACTATATTTCAACCAACTCATGATCAGAGGAACAGATTACTATTAAAATAAATATTTTTATCGAGTAATATAACATAATACTAATCATAAGTGACAAACAATAGTAGCTCCTGAACCTAATAAGAAATAAAAACTGGCAAGACAGATATTTTCAAATTTCTAGAAGAAAAGTTTTCTCAAAATACGATTATAAACTGGACGATAAATAACATGTAGTTTTTTAAAATTATGAGTACAAAACACATAGGTAAATATATAATCATAATATTGGGAATGCTATATGTATGGGGCTATTAAAATTACGGTTATTATTGTGTTATCGTATTTATAATTTTCCAGATTAATTTATTAGTTAAAAATTAAAAATTACTTAATAGGCACTAAAAAAAAAATACAAATATCATTGTAATGTGAAGAAAAATATGTTCTCTCTTTCCTTCTTATTATAGAAGTCAGACTGTCCCTCAGCATGTTATCTTTCTCTTCTGGTCATTAAATGGCTTAATTAAAACAAAATGTCTGACAAATATCAATTAGTCTTAAAGTTGTTAACTCTATGAAAATTATGGTTTTTTAAATGTATGTATGTATATTTTTTTTAGTTGTTTTATTCAATTAGGAAAATATTTCAACTTTTCTTATAAAAATCTGTTCCTTACTAAATCAATTATGTATTAATGTATAATAATTAGTATCATCAATATTAATATTTCATTCACGAATTAAGATGTCTTCGAGAATGATAAAAATGGTTCACCATTTTCGTAACTCTATGCGTGTTGCCAAGTACAAATGGAGTACGGAAAAACAAGAGTTGTTGGCAGAACTCAAGAGGGCCAAAGAGAATTCTATAGAAAATAGGTAATTTATAATGTTTGTTGCATTGATTTTATAAATAACTGTTAATTTATTTCTCGTAGGAATGATTTTGACGTGGAGACAATTTCAAGTGTGGCAGCAGGATTACAGCCAAGTAATGATGATATGCCAGATGTCAAAAAGGTACAAAACATACTTGATTGTTTAATGTTCTTTGCAATACAATATTTTTTTTCTTTAGTGTGCCAATTGCAATAGAGATGCATTTGCAGAGTGTTCATTGTGTCGACGCACACCATACTGTTCTACGTTTTGTCAAAGTAAAGACTGGAACAATCATCAAGTGGAATGTGACAATTCGCAGGGGAGCATTATGCTCATTGTACAAACTCAAGAATGAACCATATTTTAGATTCTTTGAGTTGTTTTTAATCAGTTTTTAATTCCTAATATATAATTTTTTTTTTTATGAGTAACATAGTTTAGATTAGTAATTTTAACCTTTATCATAGAGTGGAATGTTTGTTAAAGATAAGTGAATGTTATGGTTTTTCAACAAAAATTGTTTTAAGTTAAAATTAAAAATGTATTCATATTTTTTATTTTAAAATTGCTGTAAATACAAAATCAAGTGGAATGACTGTTACATACACCTTATTTTGTAATCAACGACTGATAATATAATTTCAAATATAACATACTTTATTTGAAACTAAAAAGAAATTCCTTTAATAATTGTTATCATAATCTTAAAATTAAAAAAAATAAATTGTTGTTATAAAACAAAAAGAAAAACATCAGTAGTTTATTGACAATAATTTGTTTTAAAAATTGAAGTAAGAAACTTAAGAGGATACCCATCAGTAGCCAAGATTATTTTTGGTCAGTCTTCACAATAATGGAGGTTCTCCTACATTATAGAGTAGTGCATATTTTTCTATACTTCAATAGTATATTTTATTGAAAATTTGATGCAAATTGATCTATATAAATAATTTATATTAAATAAATAAAAAGATGTACTTTAAACAACTTTTCAATTGAGTTTATATAAAAAAATTGGACAGTTGAAGTCATTTTTAAGGAATATTAAATAATTCATTTCTTTAGAAATAATACTAGAGTATAGAACAGGTGAGGTTAGGTAATATGTCTACAACGATCTATGCTTAACTATCTTTATGCTTGAGCAGAATATATATTTTTGTCAAAGGATAAAAATGAATTAATTACATACAATTTATTATATCATAATTAATAGGTAAGGCACTGAAATTTTGGGAATTGCATATTTGATATTTTTCATTATGCTCTTGATTTATCCATTATATACAATGTGATCAAAAAGAAAATTTTAAATGCATGTATTTGCATATCTTGTTAATTTTAGGGAAAACATTAGGGTATATTCCATGATAACATTAAAAAAAAAATATTTTCTTAAAACAATTCTTTTAATATCTTATGTACTTGATACTCAGTGGTTCATATTATGTCGTATTTAATTTTTTGAAGATTTGTACAAAGTAGCAAAATGCAAATATTTTCACCATAAAAGAACTTTTTGCAACGTTTTGGTTATGGCCAGGTAAACACCATGATGGCGTATTATTATTTTTTAGTAGCAAATTGTATTCATTAATATATTTATTTTGAAAATGATCAACAGGATTAATTATTGTTGTTTATTTTGAATCTCTGTATTCTTTGACATTAATAACATCTATGTTATTGAATCATCAGATGAGAATTAAAAAACGTATAGAGTCTTATAAGGATGTCAAGACTAACATAAATGAATAAATGTTTTAAAATACATATATCATAGAAGTTATATTCAACATCTCGTAGACTTGATATAATATAGTAGTATCAACAAATTTAAAAATCTATCTGTCTTTTAATAAATTTTTCAAAGGTTGCTCAACCAGCCATTAGAAATGAAAAAGAAGTGTGGGATTTTCCTTCATTTGCATTTTACAGTGTGTTAGGTTTAGGTTAGTATGAGAATTGATAACTAGAATTAATTAAAAATTATTATAGGGAGATTTGCAAAGCAAGTTATACCAATACTGTTTGTCCATGAGCCGAGGAATTATATTTTATATTTGTTCATTTTTTTCTAGGACGAAGTTGAGTTGTACAGCTAGTGTACTATAATAATGTAATAAACAAGACACTAGTATACAGCATATTATCATATACTTATAAGACACGGCTAAAAATTAGTAAGTTTTTTAATTAATAAAAAAAAATTTCTTTGCTTACTTGATATATTATGTTTATGCATGTTTTATATTTGCAAATCTCATCGATTTTACTACTATAAGTTCCAAGCATTTATAATATTTTAATTTACTGTAAACTCAAAATGAATAACAGTTGACTTGAATTTTTCACCAAATATTTATAATTACGATCATCTTCTAGAAGATATAAATTTTAATTTGGGTCTTTAATACATTTTATTTTAAAAATGTTTGTGCGTAAAAAAGCTTGAAAGTAGATTTTTCATAAATTGTTTTTACAACAATTGCTAAAAAATATAGAAACCATACAGCCAATTTAGGAACATTTTTAGATGTTATAATAAGCATTATTAGATCTTGTTTTTCCATAAATTTTTTTTTGCACGGTTTTCAAAACTTGAGAATATAATATAAAATCCACATGAGTTGTTCTTGAAGCACCTTAAAAGTATCAAAAACACAAAGGCATAATTTTTTTTATATACGTTATAGTTTCAAACGTTCTCATAAAATGACAAAAATTTGCAATTATAATTTAGACAATTTAATTTAAAAAGACCTAGTACAATATTTTTGATAATAATTCAAATAAATAAATATCCATAAGTGACTTACTGAATGAAGAGGTAAACTCAACACTTAATATAAAACAGAGCAACTTCTCTAGTTTTTAAAATTGTTATTTGGTATTGTATCCCCTTATAAAAAAATGTTACTGCTAAGGATATTATATTTCATGTTTCTATTACCACATCATATAATTATAAAAAACGTAATAAATTAGAATTTGAGAAAATATCAAAATTATTTTTAATTGTATAATATTGTAAAAATTACACAAATTATACTAATTAGTAATAATAAAAAAGGTAAATTTTATGAAGTCATTATAATTTTTTTTTTCTTTGACAGCTTCAATAACTTTTTTTATACGTCATATATGCTATTGGGCTTTGGCCAAGAGTTCTTCAGACTTAACATAATCTTATTTTGGTTTGAGAGTTTGAATGAATTTTATTTTTAAATTTATTCTCAGCCTCCCATGTTAACCTTAACATGGATCATCTGTTTTTGTGGTTATATTCACAAAGTAGATTTTTAAAAACTATGTATCACAACTCAAATTTTTATTATGTAAAATAAATATAATTTCCCATATTTTTACCCTCATTAATTCTGAAGACAAATGAGTTACGCGTAGTCGTTATTACTTAAAATGAAATAGAAAATGTATTAATAATAAATATCAAATGAGAATGTTTAAATTTAAAAATAATATTCTAATCAGTTGCCATACTTGTAAAAAAATAACAATACAATTATACTAAAATAATGATGTATTAAAAGTCAAGAGTAGACAATTTCCCATTTCATTTATTTGTCATTTACTCAATTCAATAACATGGTTTTGAGCAAATAAAACAGTAATCAATGTAAGAATTTAATAAATTGTTTTAATATTCCATTTGCACAGTACGTATTTACCTCCAGAAATTTCAACAGAGTTAATAATTGATTAGGCGTTGTTTCAAGAACTATTAACTAAATGAAATAATAATAAAATGATGTTGAAAGCAGCTCTAAATATTTTTATGATAATCAATTTATATAATATATAAGAATAATAATTAAGATAATAAATGTATTAATAATAAATGTTTGGCAATTTTTATTTTCTTGAATTGTAAACAATTCAATAAATTAATATAATATATTGCGCGGATTTTGTTAGGTTTTCATTATCTGTAAAAAAAAAAAAGTTGTTTATAAATGATTATATACATATTTCTTTTGTACAAATAATAATTCAATACACACCAAAATTGAAATAAGTGTTTGCCATACTATTTCATTATTGCGCAAGTATCACATGGAGGTAAAGGCACATTTATATAAGGTTGTTAAACAACCATAGATTTGAGTCAAACGCTTGTCTCATATTAAAACCGGGTGGTGGCGGCGGTGTTGTATATAAATTGCAATGTGGAGTAGCTGTAACTATTGCTGGATCTATTGATGACCAATCCAAATCTGAATAGTATAAATTTACATAAAAATATAAAACATATTTATTGTTCACAACTAGTTTATACTGTGTTGTTGACACTCACTATGAGAAGATGATTGACGTAATTGTTGTTGTAATGCAAATGGATTATTTTGTGGCAATTTATTAGTGTTACCTGTAATACAAAGTTAAATATTAAACTGTGGAAATTTTATTTTTTTAGCAAGTATTTTTTGATTTAAGTATTATTTTTAAATTTCTTACTTTTTATTTACACTAATGGTCTTAATAGATAATACATATCATACATTAACTATTTAATTATACTATTCAGACAACAAATGTATTATATTAAACATGTGTAATTAGAGCTGGGATTTCGATGCACTTAGTATTGCTTTCTAAACCTAGCTACGATTTGCTCACTTTATAACACATACATTTAAAGTTTTTTAATCAGAATAAGAAGTTTTTAACTTGCATTTTTTAACAATTTTCAATTGCAAGGTTATAATTTAAACATTTCGGGCATTTTGCATTAAAATTAGGTTTTTTAAATTTAGAATTTTGCTTATAAAAGTAATTTTTAAACTTGCTAACAAGGATTGCGTGTAATCGAATTATTATTCAAACGGGTTTGCACAATTCAAAACTCAAGTTTACAAAAGGTGACACATTAAGAAATCAATTTTTTTTTTTTTTAAGTCTACGTAAGAGATTTTTGGTGCGAAACTTATTTAAAATTAAAAAATGAAGTGTATTTTACAGCTGCATTATTTAAAATTTTTAGGGCATTACATTCTCAGCCCTAAGTATAGTTAATTGCATGGTACTTTTACTTTGTTGATATAACTTTGCAGTTTGTACTATTATTATTTTAGAATTCATTTTTAATACATGAAATATATAAAATTTAAGTTACCTGTGTTACGAGGAATACTGATACCATAGGAATTGACTTGATTAGGAGCCGATGAAAATCCAGGAGGCGGTAAACAAGTTCTTGTGGGAGCTGTATTATTTATATGAAGATTATCCATTAATTTTGTGCAATAAGGAAACCTAAAAAAATAATAATTAATTTATAAACATTGTTAAACATATACAATTATAAGATCAGTCATTTTTAAGTAAGACATCATTAAATTGTATTTGTACCCGGAATTTTGAAGTCTAGATTGATACATATTAATATGATTTTGTTGTTCCATATATTCTGAAAGTGCACGTTGTGTAACCGAAACTGAATCAAATATATCATCATCTGATGGTAAATTTAACTGCAATACATAATACATGTATGGATATATATATTTTTTAATTACTTATTCATACATATTGCATATATCTATGTATAAGATATTTACCATTGTTCTATTTAAATCCGAAGATGGATAATTATTCTGAGAACTATTACTATTATTTGAGAAACCAAATGCTGCTTGCCAATCTTCAGATGTTT